AGAAAACTACAAATTAATAATATCAGTTTAAAGAAAAGTATTCAATTTAATGATTACGCTTATATAATAATTTTCGATAATTATAGTTTTATTAATGAATAATAGATAAAACAGAAAAATTAATAAATAGGATATACAACTAAAATAATTTGATAGAATTTATAGGAATTTGTTATAAGAAACAAAGACTTTACATTATTTGCTATATTATACATTTGTTTGAGAAGAAACAAGGTTTAGAAGAAGGAAATATTGTTACAGATTCACTATCTTTACTGTCCTTACTATCCTTATTACCTGTTCCTAACTAGCTTAGATAAATACCTTAGGCATTTATCCATTATATAGTTAGCATTGCTTTATGTGCCTTCTTCTTTCCTTATCGAATATTATATATCTTATCTAGTACCCATCAGAACCTGTACCAGCCCTGTGATAATAAAATAATAAAATTACATTTGCTAACTCTATACTCGAGTAGTTATAACAAGCTTAGTGAAAAACAACGATTATAGTAAAACTACTCTCAATTACTTATTCTAGTCTTAAACCCAAAAAGTTGCTGTAGATTTTGTAATATTTCAACTACTCGTACTTTATATTGCCCAATAACAGCGCACATGTAATGCTAACCTGCACCAAATCATATAGATTGGTACCAACCGGACCTTCATCTTTGTTGTAAATAATGTCTCTGGTTCTTTAGCATCATTTCGAGATGGGAAGTGAATATAATGCTCTCATGGCTACATATGTACAAACGCCATATTCAATCCATCCACCTCTACCTCTAGCCTTCCGCCTCTAGCCTTCCGCCTCCCTTTTTCACTCCCACTCCGCCTCCCACTCCCCCATCTATCCCATTCATTACATTCCATTCCAATCCAGCCCAAAACAAAACTATACATATACATATACCCATCAATTCTAACCCTCCTCTCCCTTCTCCTCTCCTCTCCTCGTCTCCTCCCTCTCCTCTCCTCGTCTCCTCCCTCTCCTCAACTTCCTCCAGACCCCTCCCCTTCCTCCAAACCTCCAAACCTCCAAACCCTCCTCCGCTTTGTCCAAACCCCGAAAATCTCAGACATGCAACAAACTATGCAATAAACTATGCAATAATTCTATCTACCCACCACACACTCACACTCACACCACACCACACCACACCACACCACCTCTCACACATCTACTCCATAACCTATAACCAATCCAATCCATCACATCACAAACCACAACATCACAAACCCACAAACCCACAACACAACACAATCAAATCAAAGCCAAGAAATCAAAACAATCAAGGTATGTAGTGAAATATTGCATCTATGACAAGCATGACAAGCATGACAAGGGAAAGAAGCTGCATACAGTGCATATAATGCATGAATAACGGAATCGGATCTCCTTTATCTCATTTCATTTCTTTCTCGGGGACAGGGACGATATCATATTTCGAGTTGCAGTACTTGTACTGTCTAGGTGCGGTATTATGTATCATGTAGTACTCAGTACAGAGATCTAGTAAATAATGTACAAATTTTGGGGGATTAAAAATCAAATTATGACTAGATTGTTTGTTTAGTTCTGGGGGGATGAATGAATAGTCTGAAGATAATCGAGTCGAGATTTTTAAGTTTCAGTGTGACAGTGTCTAATTTGAAGGATAAGAAGTCGTAGTAGCCCCTCCACACATTCGGAAGAGAATTGAATTTTCGTTTTATAAACACAAGGTTTAACATGAGAGATGATACGAGTGCATGCATATTGACTTTTGTTGATTCGCAACATTCAAGAACTTTCCTACGATTACTCGAGTAACAAGATATGCTTTTCCGAGATATCAAGGAGCTTTCGCGAGTTATATAGTGGAGATTTACCCGAACGAAGCTGATATCTGCTTAAGACCCAGTTCAGTGCATTTTGAATAGATACATTCTCGCTTGGGCATTATTAAAGCCCCGCGCTAGAATATGTGAGGACATCACATCTATTGTACAAGATCAAGTTCTTCGCAAGATATCCCCACAGAACGCCCGCTATCTTGAGAGATGTAATAGATCCAACATTCTAGGAATGCTCCAAAAGATTGATTGGTATATCCGATGATACTTTTCCGTCTACATCATTGACAAAGGAGAATTTTGTGCGTATGCCTTGTCGAAGAGTTAGCGGGTTTTATAATAGGAAGTAAGTAATACGCACCATAGGCTTGATGTTAGGATGAGGTACTGCATCAAACTTGTGGAAGTCCAATTTATAATCAGGTCCAATATTGATATAAGCTCCTTTATTCTCTGTGCTGTCGCAGTATCTGGGGGCCGAGAAGACTATAATTATTAGTTGTGATGTGAGATATGTTGAATGAATATTGGCATACCAGTAATACACTTTCCATCATGCTCCTCCTCATAACCTTCCATTCGGACTTCGTGACTACGAATGATGGCCTCCAATCCATTGTTTTCACAGAACTTCCTGGTGATATCTGGTCCAAATTGCATACCTACGCCACGCTTACTTGGGCCACGACCTGGCTCTTTCTGTGGATCAGTCCATAACATCTCCATCATTAACCCTGCCTGACCTGGCTGGCGTTGATTATGTCTGTTTAAGGCCCGGATGTCGTCTAATGTGACCTTGTCATCTGAGAATAAGCCTCCGTGAAGTACGAGATATTTCTTGCCAATGAGAGTTGCTAAAGGTAAAGCGGAGAAACTTTCGGAAAATAGCTTGAAAGTACGGTCTAATAGAAATTAGTTATCATTTGCCTGGGCACGTAAACCATGAAGATAACTTACCATTGTATTTTGCCTTGCACTCGCCCTCAAATCCATAAACACGATTCATGTCATCAGTCTCATGATTTCCTCGATTGATGAAGAATGCTGATGGACGTAACCATTTGTAGGCATACAAAAGTAGTGCAATCTCAGTTGACCAAGAGCCTCGATCAACGAAATCACCGTTGAATAGGTAATAATGCTTCTCTGTGGGTAAACCGTTGAGTCGGAAGAGTTCCATAAGATCGAAAAATTGACCTGAGACTCAAGTTAGCAAAAAAAATAAAAAATAAAAAAATACAGCCAATTTACCATGCGTATCTCCACAAACAGTCAACTGTACATCGCTATCAACCTCCATTTCCACCATCGTTGGCTCATCGTATACAATCTTTTGTACCGCCATCACAATTTGATAAACATATTTCTGATGTATCTTTTTACCATTCTTAAAACGTTCCAGCATATCATCGATGAACTCCGTCGTCATTTCCTTGCCTAACTGCACGCCATCATAATCCTTCACTATCATATCATCGAGGTTGAGGCCTTCCGAAGCAGATGGTGGATTTCCAATATCGATGGCTTTGAAGAAATTGATCCTTTTAACAATCTTTTCGCATTCTGCCAACTTAAGCTTCGCATCTTTGTCATTGGGTGCTTTCTTAACAACAGTCTTGAAATCTCTAAGGGCTTCTTGGGATTTTAGGATCGCAGTATATGCAATGGCTCGACGATAGAATGCCTGCAAGAAAGCGGTTAGATTTCTGAACCCAAAGCAAAAGAAGAGTTATAGTGTAAGAAGCTCCGTCCCAACGCACCTTGACAAAGTTTGGATCAAGTTCAATGGCTTTCGTAGCATCAGCTATTGCGTATCCATAAGCCTCGGATTTAATGTTTGCCTGCAAAAATGTCAGCCACGCGAGCAATTTTGAGGGATAAGTGCATCTGCGAGTAGTACCTGAGCTCTGTTCGAGTAGTATGTGGGCTTTTGGTCGTCAAGTTCTATCGCCTTGGTATATAAATCGATCGCCCCAATCCAGTCATGAGCAGCGAATGCTTTGTTTCCTTCATTCTTCAAGGCAACGGCCTCTTCTTCACGGGAGGTCATTTTATCAACACCGAAAAGTTTGGTATAGTGGGTGCGGGGTTGCAGTTTTATCGGAGAGGAAGTGTACCGTTAGTGATACTGTAGAAAAGAAACTCTGCTAAGAATTTAGTATATTTCTCAATGTGATGACTTTGGCTGACTTTGATTTTGAAGTCTGAAGGTACAAAAAGTGTGTTTGTATAAGTAGCACTTACAAATATTGAAATTAAAAAGTAAGTTGAAGTTTGTACTTTGTGAATACTTTCGAGTTCTAGAGTAATCCCAAAGGATTCTTTCGGAGTCTTTAAAAACATCCCTGTAGTCAGTGTGGTGGTGGAACATTATTGCACGCGCTTAATCATTGATTTTCCGATATCCATTTGTCCATCCCATCTCTTATCGGATTTGTATGCCTCAATGCTTCAATCAAACAAAAGCCAACCATCAACCACCATCCATCATTTTGTTGAACCGGCAGTAAATTGAATATACGACATAACTTTTTGGAGTTGGCACATCTGAAGCGATGGATTTAGTACCATCAAACTCAACATCATCGACCTCGACTGCTCTTTCAAAACGCGCAAATGAAAGTGCTTTAATGCCACCGCCCCCAAAACGCATCAAACGACCCAAGAATGTTATCGACGAAGATGCATACACTGATGCCATTTCAGAGATCATTGCTCGGGATTTCTTTCCGGGACTACTCGAAACAGAAACGAAACAAGAATATTTAGATGCGCTCGACTCAAAGGATGGAGCCTGGATCACAAGTGCCGAACGTAGGCTTCGACATGTTATGACTCCGGGGAGACGTATTGGAAGGCGTGGCACATCTATTCAGACACCATCTCGAGCTTCCGAAACACCTGGAGCATTCATTCAAGATACCCCAATGTCGATTGCTTCCGACGCAACTCAGACCCCCAAAGTTGAAATAGATACAAACATGAGCCTCACCAAATTTCAATCGTTATACACCAGTGAGGACAACGAAAGCTTTTATAAATTGCTGGACAAACAAAATCAGAAACGAGCGGAAAAGTATGCTTGGATGTGGACCGGAAACAAAGTTGCATCAAACATGATGCTAAAGCAGAAGGAGGTCGAAACGAAGCTTCTGCAGTCAAGAGAATCGCTGGATGATGATGGCGGGAAAAGAAAAATACTTGCAATTCGAGATGTAACGGAAAGGCCAGCCCAGCCCGATTCCTGGAAGTCTAAGCCAGATAATGGATTGATGTTTCGACTCGACAGTGTGGAAGATTCTGTTGAAACCGTGGCACAGAAAGTACAAAACGAGTCAAGAGCTACTCCAAAAGGTGTCACCTATGCTAATACAAGGATGCCCGCTCCTGTACTTCAAGAGGAAACCAATATACCCTCATCTCCGTCCATATCTGCTGTAAGAGATGCCATAGCTGGAACTCGTCGGGTCGCGGATTCAGAATCTGGATTCAATGGAAGCGAAACTCCACGTGTAAACGGATATGCATTCGTGGACGATGAACCGGAGAACGAACTATATACGCCCTCTTCGATTATCGATCTTGGTCCAGGCGAAACTGCCAAAAACCCATTCATAATAAAAGAACAAAGCAGGCGGGAGGATCTACATCATAGGATTGTTGATAAGACTGCCAGAAGTAAACGTACATCTGTGAAGAATGGCATGACTGGCAAGGTTGAGATGACCCCTGTGCCCAAATTTCCCAGCAGCCCTAGAGTGGGTTCGGGTGGTCTAACACCAGCAGCTGAACGCTTGTGGAGTCGTGTTGGCGGTTCAGGCAAGGGGACTAACGATACCTTCGGTATCAGGACACCAGGGACCGTGAAAGTAAAATCTAATCTACGGGCTAGATGGACTCCTTCGGGGACAAGTTGAATTGTGGCATTGGGTTATACGAAGAAAACGGCGTTTGGGGGGTATATTGATTATAAGATACCCAATGGATGCCAAGTCATCCCTGAGCGATGAAAAAGTGTTATACAATCAGGTTTCGCATATGTATAGGCCCGTATGTGAACTGTTTCAAAAGAGAAAGAGCTAGATTTATATGATTTATGTTATTGTGAATGTATATTTTGGCCTTGAATATTGCAAATACGCCGCATGCCATACTATGTGATGCTCCTATCCTATATCTTTACACCAATAGTTTTATGACTTCTTGGCTGTTACCATTCACAATTGTCTTGTCAATCATATTGCTGCAACTCACACCATCTCACGATAGTAGTGACGTCGGTCTTTATGATGTACAGGGATTAAGCTCGACAAGAATTGTTCATGAAGCTCGACAACCCCTCCAAAAAAAGAGCAATGCTCCGCAGAGCTCACCTTCAATCACTCGACATTAATGGATGATCGGCTTTGAATTGATAAGTAGCTCAATATGGCGGGAAAGAGGATTTTGGACTTGGCCGCTCTTTTCAGTGCTTCCCGCGGGGTTGCACAGAAACACATTGCACTGAAGACGAGGCAAATAGATGTCTACAATAGAACTTCGACTCTCGCACGAGCAGTACGCAACCAGACGGATCGAGTTACGGAAACTGCAAAGGCCGCATCCTTTCTTGCATCAAGGTTGAATGATAATGTGCCAGATTGGACCAAAGAGGCAACAGACAATACATCACCGAGTTCGCAATCAAATGATGGTGGTCATATACCTAGCACAAAATCTACCAAAGAACAAGAGCACGTCACAGAAAATAAAGAGGGCTTGGAGCAGGATCATTTCTATGATAGATCTGAATCGAATTCAACTGTCAATTCGAGACCGAAAGGAGATTTGGATATTCGGCAGGAAAAGGCCAATAGTCACCCTCTACCAGATGGAACAATTCCTCTCAAAGATGTGGAAATCGATACTGCCGAATTGAATGCAGACACAACCCCGATCAAGTCTCAAGTCGCGCCTACATCAGACCCCATAAAAGGTGAAGGATTGCAGCCAAAGTCTTCCGATGCCTCAGTCATTCCTACTCCAAGAACTAAACCCATGTCCGCAGATGATGCAAGACGTATTCAGCGAACTTTTGAGTATCAAATACCATCAATAACTGCAGACGCAACGGGAAAGTCCAAAAACCCATTGGAGGAAGGTCACGATGAGGACTCATTTTACGATAGATCAAAACACACATCACCTACCCTATCATCTCTGCCCAGGGCTAAGATACCAAAACATACATCAGATGTTCAAGAGAATGGCAACCATCTCAAGGAAGATGGTATAAACATTGACTCTTTTTACAATGAAACCCATACAACTGAAAAGATACCATTTACTGAATCGGTCCCTGAACAAGAACAGATGCCCGATGGTATTAACACTGACCTATTTCATAGCCCAAGGATTGCTAGGTTGTTAGGCGGTAAGACTCAAGGATCAAGTAGAGGCTCTCTAGGATTAAAGGGAGTAAAAGACACCCCTGTAGAGCAACCCAAGCTAGCAAGAAATAAAGAGCAGGAAACATTCAATGTTCGTTCATCAGTCCAGGCAGCACCCACCACTCCGGACATTCTCCCCAAGCCAATATCTGATGCATCTCATAAAAAAGATGAAGATCTTGAAAAGCTAGCGGCAGATGTTAGCAAAGAAACTAGCAATGATACTGTAAATATGAACTCCTCTCGTACTTGATGCATGTGATACTTAGATCTGACAGTAATTTAGACGCAGCCTGAGGCGAGTTCAGAGCCTGGCATATATAGGCTGCGAGAATCTAGTGTTCCTTCTTCACGGCTTGGGAGATTATGGAATTATAGTGGTCTTGCTGCTGGTATGGTTGGAGGAGCAATTAGCGAAAGTCTTCGTCGAGTCGGCGGTGGTGGCGGCGAAGGTTCTTTTATGCTGAGCGCGGGTAATATGGATAGGCTCGTGACTAAGTTGTCTCGAATGAGGGGTGCAGCTCTAAAATTGGGTCAAATGATCAGTTTCCAGGACTCCAAGATGCTTCCTCCTGCAATCCAAGAAGTAATGCAGCGAGTCCAGGACCGCGCAGATTACATGCCTGCGTCACAACGAAACAAGGTATTAACAGCAAACCTCGGAGCCGAATGGAGAGATCTGTTTGACGAATTTGAGGAGGTTCCTCTGGCCGCAGCATCTATCGGTCAAGTTCATCGTGCAACGCTCAAATCAACTGGTGTCAAGGTCGCTGTGAAGATTCAATATCCAGGGGTGGCAGATTCCATAGATTCCGATCTCAATAATCTCGCAATTCTACTCACAGCATCTCGTCTCTTACCAAAAGGCTTGTTTCTCGATAAAACAATTGCAAACGCCCGAACAGAGCTGGGATGGGAATGTGATTACATTCGAGAAGCAGAATGCGGGCTACGTTTCCAAGAACTTCTAGCAGATGAGGAGGACGTCTTCGTTGTCCCAAAAGTATACTCAGAGGCATCAGGAAAACAAGTTCTTACTATGGAATACTTGGAGGGAGTCGGTGTTACTCGCATACAAAGCTTCACACAAGAACAACGAGATTGGATTGGGACTCAAATCCTCCGCCTCTGTCTTCGGGAGATTACTGAATTCAAATACATGCAAACTGATCCCAATTGGACAAATTTTCTCTTCAATGCCCAAACGAACAAACTAGAACTTCTTGATTTTGGTGCCTCTCGCGAGTACCCAGAGGAATTCATCAATAAATACACACAACTACTGGACGCAGCCTCCAGATCTGAGAGGAACAAAGTCCGAGATCTATCCATCGACCTTGGATATCTCACAGGTCAAGAATCCAAGGCAATGCTCAATGCACACATACAGTCCGTCCTCACACTCGCAGAACCGTTCTTAGAATCTTCCCCAGAGATTTACGATTTCAAAGATCAGACGATTACGGATAGAGTCAAGGCTCTCATTCCGGTTATGATTAGAGAGAGATTGGCGCCGCCGCCAGAGGAAACTTATAGTCTGCATAGGAAGTTGAGTGGAGCTTTCTTACTGTGCGCGAGGTTGGGCAGTAAGGTTAGGTGTAGAGAATTGTTTACGAATAGCATGGAGAAGACGAAGTTTCTGTGATTGGGTTGAATGAGGGGAAAAGTATATAGTATGTATTTGTACATTTGTTTGTATTACTAGAAACATAGATGAAGAGTGTCTCCTGGAGACAGGTATGAAGAATTTATAGCACAAGGTGGAGATGCAATCACTGAGTACTAGTAACATATCTAATTGCCCTTAGCCTCAGTGAAATAAACTTTATAGTTTCGAATTCAACCACGTCAATCTCTCGCTAGCTACTCGAGTATATCCTCCGTAATTAACATGTGAACTTGTGGATATTGTATTGAAAGCTCACCGAAACTAAAAAAAATCGACTCGGGGTCTCTAAAGACGAGGCTCACCGGGATTACCCCGCAGCCCGCAAGCTGACGTACCCGCACTTTGACATCCATAGTAAACATTCCAAACGATCTACAAACGATCTACAACAAACCAAACTACATAAGATACAACATGTCCTTCAAAAGCATCCTCGAGAAAGCCAAAGCCAAGGGCGAAGCTTTCGCAGCCCAACACAATTTCAAAATTCCCGGCCAATCCACCACACATACGCCTCTACCACCACAACCCGCACCACCGGGATATTACCCCCAAATCCAACCTCATCATCAAGCAGGTGCACCTCCACCGATCCCTCAAAATCGACCCTCCTACTCTGCAATCCATCCCTATTGGAACCCCTCTCTCTCCCCCCACACACCCGTCTCCGATAACTTCAGACATCAACTTGGTGATCATGGGTGGGGAAACAATGAGCTTCAGAACTACGTCGCAGACGGGGAAAATTCCTTCCACGACGAGAATGGATGTTTAGTTTTACGAGCTATCTCATCCAACGGCAAATTCACAAGCGCGCGTCTCACAAGCCACACGACACTTGCCCGCGATCGCGGAAGTCTGATAGCGACTATAACTCCACCATGTGCGTCTGGGATCTGGCCCGCGTTTTGGTTATTACCTCGAGAACCATTTTCGTGGCCGAATGATGGGGAGGTGGATATTATGGAGACGTGGAATGGAGATGCGACGAATCATACTTGTTTGCATTGGGGACATTTTAATGGGGATGATTGGAATAAACATCGGGTCGTGGAGACGCCGGTGCATAATATGCAGCATTCGCAGCACACGTATGAGTTTGCGTGGAATCAGCCGGAGAATGGGGTAGGGGGGAAGATGGTGTGGTATGTGGATGGGAGGGTGGTGATGAAGGCGGTTGTTCCTGAAGGGACGAGGAGGTTGAATGATTTTCAGGTGATTATTAATGTGGCGATGGGGGGTAATGTTTGTCAGGGGCAGAGACCAGAGGATGGGGCCTATGATTTGAAAATTCATGGGTTGAAGATGTGTGATGAGCCTACGGGGGGGTGGGGGAGGTTTGAGAATGATTTTCATCATGGACCGGAAGGACATGCAATGTAAGTCGCTGTTTGGTGAGGTCATATCCAGGGCCATGGCAACATATCTCAATTTTATAGAAGTATCTAAAGTGCCTCGCAAGGATCTCAATTGTGGCTTAAACTATTGAGCTACTGAGCTACTGAGCTGCTAGTAGCAGCGTTGTATTTCCTACCAGCTTGGAGAGTTCCCGCATGTTAGAGGTATGATCGTTGTAAATTATAATATTTGGCAACACTGCCCATTTACCAAAATGAAAATTCATAGAATATTCTGGATGCTCCAAATCTGTATCAAATACTTTGATGTCATCTTGGCAGTTGAAGCGAAGTTCTTTTAGCTCTTCTTCGAGAGGGACTAGGAAGTCATGGGGGGTTTTTACCTTCCTCAATGGAATTCATATTCAAATATATGGCTTTTTCGCGTATTCGGAGCTGCACGGGTGCATACATACCTAGGCATATTCAGTGCAACATTCTACATATATATATATAACAAGTAGCCTTGAGGTAGATACTACGGACACGAAACTGATCTGTCTTCCCTAAGAGGTTCAAGATTTCTCAGCAGCTTTAACTGGTGATTATCTCCAAACAATATGTTGTATGGTAGATATTATCTTGTGGGGATCTATCTGGTATCCCGTGTCCCTAGGTCTACCTTTGAATGTGAGGTAGTAGTGACTCTTGAATCAGACGGTAGCCACCCTAACAATACAGTTAGTTTATGATTGTCAAAGGCCCTAATGAAGGAGACAGAGACAGTATGTTCTTCTAGCTGTGCTATCAGATCCGCACCATTGATCCCTTTCTTAGGTGTTACTGGTGCCGCTGGTAAAGTAATACATATGCCTTCAAAACTAGCTGTATATTCACTAGAGATTCAAACCCCGGCTTCTGTCTTGCGAACGGTTATTATAGGTGTTGGACTGCACCATAGTGCGCACGTATCAAATGATATTCGACGGTTGGTTTACGGAAATAAAATATTACGAGAATGTGACGAAAGCGATCCGTGACTTGTTCGTTTTTTCGTTAACGTATTTATATTCGAGAACTTTGGGGGTTGATTGGTATGGATACAATCTTCCAGAAAGTTTTAGGGTCAGTTTTTGGTTTTCATTTCACCAGTGCGGGATGAGATGGATTTGGTTTGTTATTTCATTTATGTGTTTGTAATCATTATTGGGAAGAGGTCTTGTAACATCTACAGAAGAATATAGCTATGTTTTATGAACGAAAATTAAACTAGTATGATTTATATCACAATCTAGTGTGGTCAAATATATGCCGAGACTTGAAGTCAAGTTCTCATCTGGATTTAAGTTGTTTAGTTGCTATCATCTGAAACTCTGAGAATTTAGGAATTGCATGATTTTAAAATCCTGTTCTCTTACCTGTTTAAGGGTCTTGGGAAGGTGACCAGACATTATTCAAATATGAATTGAACATTTCGATTGTGTTTTTCCAATTATAATTATGGATGATCAAGCCCAAAGTCTGGACCTTGGACTTTATGGGATCCGCATATCTGAATACAACTTTAACACACATTCTATCATCCAGTATGCTCATCAACCATCATATGAGCCAACAGTTGCATTCCTCAAATATCATAGAATACTAATGCGAATCAAGCTCGAGCTCCTGTCTGTAGAATCAGACTTCATCTATCAAGCATCCATCAGATATCCAGGTCTTATTGACCAACAAACTTGAATGGCAGTGCATATAAACATTCAAAACAATGAGTCTTCGGTCAGTCATTTATCACGCTTTTCCGTTGTGAATGTTCTTCTTTTCATTCAGTCTAAATTCGTTGCATATTGATTTAAGTGATTTTACATCCATTTCACAGCTACTTTTCATTCGCTGTCGCCAAAATCAATCATTCTCCCAGCCATTTCAGTCATTTCTTGTCCTTTTAAATTGTTTCTCGACCATATCAAGTCGTCACTGTTCAAGGATCCAGTTTACCAGAACCATATATTGTCATTCATACCACATGGCCATGAATCCGTATATCCTTGAGTCTTCCGGTGTAAGGAGGTAAAGTAACATTTAAGGCCTTGCTTTCCCCCGTTTCAAAGACTTCCTCTTTACATCTACAACGAAAGTTCATCTACAGAAATCTAAATCACCTATTTAAATATCCTCAACGTACTGTGGGTAATCATGAATGAACAACTTCAACATGCTCATCCAGAACAGAACCATACGGTCCAGCAGCCACAAAATCAGACGCTGGCTCTGCCTCCACCGCAGCAGCTCCGATCCCCAATGCAGACTCCAGAACGAGCCCAATCAGACATTCCTGACAATATTTCCGAGGCTAATTCACACGAGACTCCTGTGCGATCATCGAGCCCGGCTTTTGACATCAAGGAGGAAAGAAAATATTCGGGGTCAAAGGACCCGAACAGGCATGGGAAATCAAGTCATCACCATTCTTCAGACCGAAAGTTGTCTAGAAGTTCCGCATCAAGGGGGGAAAAGGAGCACACGCACAAGACAACGTGGACAGAAAGAATAAGTCTTGCTGTTGATACATTCATTCAGCCTGTGGGCAACTACCGTGAAAGTGTAAAAAGGGAGGTGGCGTACAGAAACAATCAGCGTGAAGAGCAGAACCGGAGCTCTCGGGATAAATAAGCATAAACTGGCTAAAGTTGCTGGGAATAAACATGATTGGTAAGTGCAGAAGTCTCTCGTCGAGAGTACCACAGTATATATATACAAGATCGCTAATTCAGTACAAAGTTTCAGAACTCCTATCCGCAAGCAGCGACATGTGAGGGTTCGTGGAATAACGGTGTCCTCTGATCGTTTCTACACATTTACATGTTTTTGAGCATAGTTCCTCGCTATGTTGGTACTGGACTAAGTTAAACTTATCCGGTATCATTTTTCTGGTGTGGTTCGTATTATTGGTCAAGTTTATGGGGAGGAGTTAACGTATGGTATTGCTATTGATGGGAATTGATAGGGGGTGTTGATTTGGTTTGTGGTTTCTGAGTGGGAATTAATGGTGGATGGATTATTGCATCTTGAAGAATAGAAATCTGATTTTCTTGCTTTTGAAATGGTTATAGAAATTTGATCCATTTAATTTACGTGCATTTTTTCGCATATAAAGTTTACATCGTAACTGAAATTATGGAATGGAGAGTTCATAAATGTGTATTTTTATTTCAAGATATAAAACATTCAGTTATTTCGCCATCTCAAGTATAGTAGTGAGAGTTTCTAGCTACTATGAAATGTAAAAACAAATATTGGCGTTGGATTTTAGGGAGTTGTAGCCAGTTTCTAAATGATGATGTGCACATAATTAACGAATGCCAATCAAACAGTGTCATATCATGTACTCGAGTAGTTCGTTATAATATCAATTTCACATTTGTAAACCTGAATACAACCCAACCACAAATATTCCCCTTTCGTTCACTTTTTACTCCAAGTTATCCCTTGGTTATTATCAGGACTCATAGGATTCTAATGGAATGGTAGCGGAGATTCACTGCCAAAACTCGACACATGCAGATATATTATACTGTTGCAAAACAGTCAGATTACACATCTATCAAATCATTCTTTTCACAGTCAAACTACCTAGGTAAATTCAAAACTTTAGCCATCAGTCTCTTTAATTAACGTAAAATGACTGGCCACCGTCAGGAATGACTTGACTTGACTTGACAGTCAAAACGTACCTTTGCCGAGTAGTTGTCCCAGAGTCACAGTAAATCACCATTTTCAGCCATAATTACTCATATCTTATATCGGCTGATATTGACTTGTTCATGGAGAGCATCCCAATAGCTCAGTCACCACAAGTGAAGATATGACAAGCCAAAGGATCAAAATATGAGAGAGCTGGCTGCTTTTTATATGAAGCCGCCATTCATAACTGAGGTTATAAGAAAGAAAGGACTAAACACATAATGATAGCCTTAAGATGTGCCCCTACATAATACTTTCCCTGAGGCCTGTTATTTCAACGATAGTACGATACTACTACTTTGCCTATACTCGCACCTATTAAGAAGCCTTGGGCTGAATGAAAAAAAGAGGAACGCTTGGCGAGAAATTGTTACTATTGTGGCGTAGAAAGGAACAAATGAAAGGGAACCTAGAGCAAGAAAGTTCCGCCGCAGCCGGAGCGGCCTAAAGGAACTTCAATTTAGAGGAGCGGCCATCGGACAACTAAGCTATCTACGAGTCTAGCAAGCCGAGTCCAATTATGTATATACAGCACACCTCAGTGTTTAGATGATCACAGGAGGAGAATTGGACAGGAATGGGTAGGTTGTATTTGGATAAGCGACTTTTAGTTGGATTAATTTTTGGCACCTTAGGAAATATTGAGAGAGATATGATGATCTTGGAATTTATACTGAGGGCACTACCGTATAGATAAGTCCACAAGCTACTAAGCAGATGATTGATGATACCTCCTTGTTTATTTCCCCGCTTCACTGGTTGATTTACCTCGCTTCTTTTGTCTACTCATGCTTCTGGGTACAGTAATGTTTGATGAACTCGAATTGTTACCTCAATACTTATTTTATAAATTATCAGAATCTCGATACTTATCCAAGCTACAATACTTCTCCTCTAGAAATCCATTTGAAGTGTCGTTTCGAGATGCTAATTATGCTGGAAACGCTGAAAGTCAAGTAAGACTCTGTAAAGGATAGGGAGGGGCAGGGGCGCATAAATGACTACTGTACTCGAGTATAATCATTGCTAAGCGAAGAAATACCGATATTTCAATTCTGCTTTTTTGACTGAGGAGTAGATCTAAAATTAGATCCTGCAGAGAATTACGATCTGTTTATCCATCCCACTTGGCATAGAATCTTGACGCTAGAATAGAAACTGAACATTAAAAGCCCCTACTCCACTCCACACGTTCAATCATCCGCGATGACAATAATCATATAATACTAGAGTATATCCTCATACCGGTGCTTCATCTTGACCCCTTGTTCCCAGACAACCAGTGATATGAAAATATTGAGTTAGCATGAAATCGTCAGACGCTACTCGAGTACAATATAATTTTATTAGATTGGAAAATTACATCCGCAACCCCAATGGAATGAACAGTCGACAAGCTCGCAGAATATCATACATATCATTCATAGCCCCTCCGTAGTCCGCAGGACCGACTATTCACCAATTAGTACATAAAATAGTCGACATCCTTCCTTCTTGTATAACCGACCCTATTTCACTCATCCCATCCCATCATTTCCAAAAGAAAATCAAGAAACTATTATAATTTATACCACAAAACCACCATCCATCTCCCTCGGGGGTTCCCTATCTCAGAAACACCTACTGTACAGTAATAAGCTCCTCACGAGTCACATCCCTATAGTTTCCTTTTCAATCTATGAATATTCACTCACCTCTTTCTAAAGTTTCGACTCATTATCCATTACTCGAGTAGTAGGAATACATCTATCTATAACACCACCGGTATTTATAGTTCCACGGAAAACGTGACTTTTACCGTACATAAACGTATCATCAATTCGACATTACATACACTCCAGCATACTAATATTATCCTCCCCTCAACCTCAAATACTTCGCTTAATGTACTCGTAACAAAAATAAGATTAGCAAGGTGGAAACTTTCCCATCCATCCACTGTCGTCCTACACCCTTCCCTTGCTTGAGTTTCGCACTTGCGCATATCAATTTCTATGTCTGATGATATCGTTGGAGTGTCCGGTATAAAGAAGCCTATCATGCTCAAGTATAGTTAGCTTTGATTGTTAGCTTTAGCGCAATGACACCAACTACCAGTAGTTTGTTCGATTTAGAGGATCGAATCTTGATTTCTACATTAGTCTAGTGTTTTAGTAGTCTAGTCTTATCTTGTCTATAGCATATCAGTCTATGTTTATATACTCTCCTCAACATCCGGGCCGCCCTAGAATCATTTGATTCTGGGAGTCCAACTGTACAACATATCATATACACCTCCTCATCACCCCCTCGCAAAACCCTTCTCCTCTCCCCATCTCCTAACCTTCCCATCCAAATCTCTCCCCACAAATCCCCAGGCCATACACGTCACCCACGTAGTCAACGTATCTAGCACCCAATTTCCCCTCCTACTCCCACCCCACGCACAAGCCCTCATCATACTGCCCAGCCATCCCGTCGTAACAAGATACTCTCCCTTTTCCAACCCATTAATCGCACATCGCGCAACTTCTTCTGGCGTTTGTATTGGATCAGTTGCCTCCAAAAGATGTGTGATCTCCGGTTTTCCCAAATTCTCTTTATCTAACCCCGGACTCCCTATCGTACCGGGGAAGACTGTATGTATTTGTGGAGGATTGGGATACGCGAGAACTTCCTGGTGTAAAGTATCGCTCAAACTTTTTATGGCTGCTTTGGCGGGTGAATATGGTGTATAGCCCACAACCGAATAGAAAGCCAGAACACTACTCGTGAAAATCAAATGCCTCTCTTTCTTTTCCACATTTGGAGTAGAGAGCCAAGACTTGAGAACGCAATGTGCCATGTCTACACAAGACCAATAGTTGATGTCCATTTGTATGCGGAGTTTATGGGGGGTAGTATCGAGGAAGAAGCCAGGAGTAGAGGTGCCAGCGATACACCAGACAATGTCGGGGGGTGTGGAGGAGTTGAAGGTGGTGGCTTCTTGGAGTATACGCGCGGCTTCGGTTGGGATAGAGACATCGGCGGATATATAATAGAAGGATTGGGTTGAGGGGGAGAGAGCTGAGGCCTGCGAAGAAATTAGTTGAGCAAACATACAAAATCATATCTCATAGGGAAGTACAAAAATTACCTTAATCTCCTCCATCGCCTCCTCCAATTTCTTCACATTTCGCGCAACAATAATAACATTTGCGCCTTTCTGTGCAAGTTGAATCGCAACACTCTTTCCCATCCCCTCTGAAGCGCCAGTAACTAGTACTGTCTATCAATTCGTTAGCATATATATCCAATCATCTTAATCCCGAGGCAGTGACAGTGGCAGTGGCCGAGTGTAAAGCAGCCGGAGAGCGGAGGCAGTGGCCGAGTATGACGCAGGTTGACGGCAAAGCAGACCAAGCAAAAGGCAAAGCAACCCTCCATCAAGCAACTCCACCAAGCAACCCCCCTCCCCTCCCCCTCAAGAAGAAACCTCCACATACCTTCCCCCCAACCAAAAACCTATTCCGACCGCACCAACCCATGATACTCGGCATCAAAACAGCAATTGACAGTATCAGAGCGGCGATACTCCAGTAATTAAATATGGATGACATCTGCTTGCTGCTGACGGATGAGCGAGTGAGTGGAGTGAGTGAGATTTGGAATTGGCATTGGAATTGGCATTGGAATTGGCAGGGGTCCAGAGGGAGCTTAAGTTAAGCTAGCACGTACCTATCTATGGCTGTGTGTTGTTGGAGACGACGATAAGGAAGACGAGGAAGGGATTGGGTTCATTTATTTTGGTGGGTAGGTGGTGTTAGGAATGAATATGGAAGGTGCGATTAGCGAGATTATATCAATACCTAAACATGAAATAAAATAAAATACTGTAGCCATCTCAACACCTACCTACCTAGGTATAATCTGAATTCTATTCTCAAAAAGCTCATAACAATCACAATATCACAATATCACAAAATTCAGATAGAGCAATTGGCTAGCCGACTAAACCCTTCTGCAGCTTCTTCTTAATTCACATTCATATCCATCTTCATCTTCATCTTGATATCTATCCTTATCAAAGCAAAGCTGCGCTGGATCATGATTTTGATCATTGCAAAAAAAAAAAAGCCCCAATGCTTTCGAGCTCGGTATGCCTATTGGCTAATAATAAGCATTTACCAAAGTCACCCATGTCCCCCTGAGTTTGATGTAGATGCCACTATATCAAATCCAAGATCCTCCAACGCCTTGTAATACCAAAACGAACACGGAAAACATCATCATCCATAAACGCCATTTTCTTAACCTTAGTAAATCCTGTATCAATTGATTTGAAGAACGCCTTTTGTCCATGTGATGGGTATCATCCTTGCCTCCCAGAATCAAGATCCAATTAAATACAAATGATATCTTACAAAAAGATATGAACATGCTGCATATCACTCTGTTCTCTTTCGCATGAGAACAGGTCTCTTCCTTCTATTCGCAGCAGGTACCATGCCCACGAATGTTTCATCAGAGTCGTCACCAGGGCGATCATAGCGTTCGTGACCGACAGTGATAAGTTTGACAACATTTCCCAGCGCGACAGCGATACTATTCGTACCGACTTTCGTGACTGGGCCAAGCTTACCAACGAGCAGTAACTGGTCGTATATCGAATTTAATGGCACAGAAGCCTCATCCCCTCGTGCCCCCAAACTCCAGACCTCCCAGCCATCATTTTTACCTCCTGGATGGTCCGTATTAGATCTCCTGTCAGAAACACCACGTCGTCGAAGCCCACTGCCTCCAATAGATCCAAACAGTTGATTGCCCATTGCTTGTTTGCCTTGATCCTGTAACTTCCGCACACCTACCACGTAGCCTGATTGGAGTGCTTGCCAATCGCCAGGATTTTCAATACTATATTTCCGCTCTACAGTCTCCCGCCATAAACAGCATGTTTTGGAGCCTGGTGTGGTGGGATCACGGAAACATATAGTATCACCTTCCCTGCTTGGTAAGTATGATTGCATAATGAGTTTGCTAGTTTCAATGCAAGTATATATAAACGCAAATGAACCCAGACCAACAGAACCACATTGTGGCCTTCGTCTTGTCGAATGGACGCACTGTAATGTTCCAGGCTTGATATTCTCTGTAACGAAAGAATGAGTAACATCATGAGTGTAAATGTCAACAAGATCAACACTGTGGTTACGTATAGCCAGGAAGGAGGACAATGCCGGCAATGGAAGAATGGAATTTACATCTTTGTCGTCCGATACCCACGGCAACCTGAGATCATATGAGACCCAACCAGAATCTTCTTGAACAGCAACATGCACACAGCCACGTTTTGATGCAGTAATGATTTTGGGGGGTGGTGTACAGCCATTTATAATAACTTTCTCCAGATGTGGCTCGACACAAACCAGCGCAGTGCGGCATATTTGTAGTTCCTTCGAAACATGGTCTTCCATATGAAGTTCTGTCATGAGACCGTTATGGCGAACAATTATAACAGGATCGATCAGCTCAGCCGCATTGTGGCTGAAGAAGAATGCCTCCGGTGTTCGCCCTTTAATAACATCCACGGGCATTACCGGACCCCATCTTCGTTCGGGGATATTCCATAGGGCGACCATCTTCTTCGAAAGGATTGCCAGCCAGTTAGAATCACTATCGATAGCCATAGCTAAGACGGGAAATGGGTCGATGTCGGATCCAGGATCTTCAATAACATAGCTTCTGCCAGCACGCTGTGCATCCCAAATACGAATCCATCTGTCCAAACCGACCGAAACAATGATTCCGTCACGAGAAGCTGTCATTAAGACAACATCCAAAGCATGACCAGAGCCGAATGTTTTAACCGACAAAAGGGGTTCGTCACCGTGACCTTGATGGTTTTCGTCATCAGAAATTTCATCCGACAAGAGATATCTGATGAATTGATTGACGAGCACACCCGTGATGAAAACAAACAAAAGAAATTGCAGGGACTGATTCTCGATAAAGTCATAAAAAGCAGGTAGAAATGACCTGACCCCAGATCTATTTGGCGTTCGATCTGAGTCATTCAAAACAAAAACTAAAGGGTCATAAACTTGAGCAACAAAACTATGAGCATGTGGTTTGACAATGCTTACGAGTTCATGAACGGTTTCATGATCTTGTAAACGAAGCCAGGCAGTTGGAGTTCTGGCTTGGTGAACATCAACCTGTAGTATGGATGAAGAAGCTGTCGGGGTACTTCCCGATAAATGTTGGCTGCTTTGTAAGATGCCTTGGTCGAAATGCCATTGGCATACAAGTACTGCAATAATGACCACTAAAGTACCAACAATACGAGTTGAAGGCATTTTTCCTCCGTGAAAAATAAAGTCCACCCAGGGCTTAGAAGATTCTCTCACTGGTGATGAGTAGCGTTGTTCCCGAGAAGCTGCCAGTGTATCGTCCAATTGAGGTCTTCGTACATCGATGCTTAGAATAGGGGCGAAGAATGTTAGTAAATAGAAGAAGTCAAAGACTAGTGCAAGCGTGGCAAAACGACAGAAAGTAGCCAACCCTTCGCCCCCAAACCTTGACACGACCCACAAAAATAGAAGTTTCTGGCCGGTATTTGCAAGAAATATATGGCCATTCTTTCCGAAAGCTTCTGCTGATCTGAGGGTTGGATGATGTGATGAGGGCGTGACAACAACAGCTCTAACAAGTTGAAGCATATTTTCCGTACCACAGAAGACCACAATCAAAGGGTAATATTCTCGTGGTATCATAGATAGATCGGTTTTGACAATGGCACAGATCGTGAATGTCGAAGTGAATGTGAAGGCCAATTGAGTAGTTGCCGCAATGAGAAGACCAAGCCTTGATTTGAGAGCTCGCAGACCCCATAATGTTGCGACGAACCAGCATGCGCCGAAAGCATAAGCGATAGCCAATGCAAGGTATTCCCAAGTGGTGGTAGGCTGAAACAAGAATTCGTAAGGAGTGCTTGTTAATGAATGACCATCCGAAGGGATGACCCGCCAAATATCAGATCCTTTGGCTGCCATTTGTGCTGCTCTTCTTTCCCATAATTTCCCAACAGGGGAATCGAGCATGTGGACTAAAGTTATGACCAATGCATCTGCAGCCACCAGAAGACGGTCCTCAAAGCGCTTTCCACTGAAGACAATAGAGTGTCTCAAGGTAACATTGACAGAAGTCGATTGGTGTAGATTTTTGTTGACTGTTGTTATAATGTCCTCATCCGCTGAGATAGTTTCCTTCAAGCATGACCAATATTGTAAAGGCGAAAGAAAAAACCAAGACGAATTTGATAGGCCATTGACTGCATGAAAGGAATCCCGAATATCCACTGACATTTCGGCTTCGGTGTCATCAATCTGAACTTGTTTGCTTTCTTTGCGAGGGTTGAAATTGATAGTGGGGCCCAGAATAGTATCCTGTATCTCCAATGCTGCTTGGAGAACATCTGCTTTCAGAGCTTTCATATAGCTGCCTGTCCCAGAATTAGCTCTTCCCCTCTCACAGGCCGAGAGAATAACACACCATGTACCCATATAGATCTCATGACCACATCCGGTTTCCTTGTTCCATCCAATGCTTGTAGAGGTTGCGCCGAAGACCATACATGATGTGGTAAATTCGATGCGCCATTTGTGAAGTCATTTGTAAAGAGAAAAGGAAAGGGGTAGATGAGTAATGTTGCAACGATAGCAGAGATAGTGATGGTGGCGACTGAGTGCTTTGCGACATTGTATCCAAATTGAGTAAATCGGTCTCGGATGGGATGTTTAAGATCAAGATCGGGAGGTTCGGTAGTTCTAGTAGAGAAGCATTATTAGAGATATAAACTTTTGAAGGGCCTCTCAATTAAATTAAGAGCACTTACCCTCTAAATGGATAAAGGAGGTACCAAATCATAGTGACGAGGAATTGACCTTATCCTTGATCTTGCCAACCACACCAAGGATGGCGGCGGTACCTTCTTTCAAGAGACTTTGGATGTTGTCAGGCAATATATGCACCAGCTTGTTGAATTGGTTTGGCGATTAATATTAATGAATGCTGTGACGATTGCCACAGATATAATAGTAGTGTGAGTAGACAGTGATGGATTTTCGATTATTGACGTTGTGAGGGATCTCGACCATGGTGTTATTGTATGGTACAAATTGTGTGTATAATGGTTGCTTGGTATATGCGAATCGGATGTGTGGGAATCTGGAACCTTGAAGGCTTTGAGAAACGTCAAAAATTAAAACTCAAATTGCTGACATATTTAAATCAAGTGAATGGATGGCCCTGGGTCGATCTCTACTTGAAGAGGATGATTCGTGATAGTTGAGTGATGATTGAGGTCGAGTAAAAGAGTAAAAGTAATAGTAACAGTAACAGTAACAATAACAGTAACAGTAACAATGAGTATTGATTGACTTTAGATTTATCCTTCTTTACCAATATCGGTAATTGTAAATAAGTTCGTTGTCAGTTTCATTATTGACTGCAAAAAAGGTTGTTGAGTTGAGATTCTTTAGGAGCCAAGGAAATATATGGATCTTTTTTTTTTCTCGGAGTACCGAGCCGAACTAATCAAGTGGGATGGATGGATCTGACTTGGTCCTATTTGTTAAAAATATCTAGATACCTAGGTAAGAATGGCCAATAGATTCCTTGGAAATTATCATGACTGAATGATAGAATGGTAGATGGTAGATAATAGATGATAAATAATAGATGATAGATGATAAATAGTAGATAGTAGATGGTAGATGGTAGATGGTAGATGGTAGATAGATAGATGATAGATGATAGATGATAGATGATAGATGGGGATGGAGATGGCAGAAGGATGGGTGAACTGAACAATGTATAAGATAAGACCCTTTATTGATAATATACTTACTTACTTGTTGGTTGAATTCCTTCTTCTCTCTTTCTTCTTTTGCTTCTTCTGCTACTTCTGCTTCGTCTTCGTCTTCTTCTTGAACTTACTCGACTGGTAAGAGGGGTTTAGACAAATTGATGACACAGCAGTATTGTACCTCGAAATGTCTCAATGTTGACCAAGTTGTACGGATTTCGACCAATCCTCATATATGGAACTTCAAATCTCAGATTCTGATTGTACGCTTTCTGATTCTGAATATGCTGCTGCTTGGAATCGATGATCGACTGGTTTATCTGCTTTTTATCCTCGAATCTTTGAGAGATCTTACTTACAGAGTACATGTACTCGTCGCGTGCTTGTGTTCCCGATTTCCTTCTCATTTTCACTCGAGTTGTTCCCACCTACCACAAGCTCATATTTGGCTTTCTCCGCAGAGAACGAATCATATGGAGCTAGAGGCAAAAAGGCGAAAGATTTAATATCAGATCCAAAAGAGAATCCAGACCCAATCCAGACCTTTTTGGCGGCTTATCGTAAAGTTCATGGTGACGAGGGATAAGATGTGGCTGCCAGGTTGTATGCAGCTGCAAGAGAAGAGGTATGGAACAACTGGATGACTGGATAATGACTTGGATTATCTTGGGAGGGACAAGTATGCACCATTATTGAGATACAGCAATATAATTCAGAGAAGATGAAAAGAAGAAGAAAATTTCCAAAACTTCGTACGAAGTGGGCGTTCCCTTAAATCTATATAGTTCCTTCTTTCAATATTTATTCATTTCAATCATCGTATGCTTTTTGGATATTCTGGCGTGTCTATCGCATGATTTTCACGGCAGTTATGTTCACCGACGGCTCAGCTGGACATACAACTCATACTATATCAATAACTTATATATATATATATATATATTTGTATAATCCCATAATCCCTTGAAAAAAAAAAGAAGAAAAAATAGAACTTTGAACTTTGCTTCGAATTCGAACTCGAATTAAATGATACAAATGCTCTCACTGGTTTCATTGGTTTCAGGTTTCATTGGATTTAATCTAGGGTTAGGGTTACAAGTCACCAATATTCCTGAAAGCTTGTTTATAGGATACAAGTAGAGTATTAGAGTAATCCAGTTTTCATTCCAATATATACCTATTCTATACAGGTTTCTATAAGTAAATTGGGTTGACCAATAATCAATGACCCATCATCTTATAAATATCTTTACAGTACAGGGAACAATAATTCTTGATTCTGCAGATATCCGAAATCCAAGACCTTTTCGGTCCTTTGAGATGGGAAGTATAATGTATCGATTGTCCGATTATAGCCTCTAGAAAAAGATACTCGAGTATGACATTGAGAGCTTGTTGGCACTGAGGGTTGAGAATTGACATTGAGTTGACAATGATATTATAGTTGACATCAAGAGCAGACAATTCGATCAATACCTTCAGAGATTTGATGGATCAAGGACTACTGTATGACAAATGAGTGTGTGAATACAATGACTGGTGGTTAATGAGTCTGTGAGAAGAATCAAAGTGCCCTGCCTCCTCTCACTGCTCAAATGGACTTCTTATCATAGGTGACAGGACTACCTACAGTAGAAACTTCACGACTCGAGGAGGACTTCTTAAGCTTCCTAGGGAAAGTCATATTCCGCTCAATCAATCGTATCTTCCTCATCACCAACAACTTCAATTCCTATCATCAAACTAACACGGCAATAATCTGGGAAGAACAAGAGGGAGAGGGCTATGAACTACCAGTACCACTCTTGATACTTCAAGGCTATATTTTCATCGCTATGTCATGATAATGACCCGTCTGTCTTCTAAACTGACGGGCGTGGACATCACGTATTTTTAGTACATTACAGTACAGGAACAGTACTCAGTACTCATGGAAGCATGTTATGCGAATGCGAACGCGAACCCTAAGATATCACGGATACCAACCTCCATAAGGCTGGTTTATTAATCACATCGCCGTATCGTATTCCTAAGCGCCGCCTGTCAGTCATTTGAAGTCCAGAATCAACAAGTGTCACCATCGTCACTTATGTACTTGTACATACCCCACTCAGTCCAATCCTGCCGCAAACCACTGCAGCCGTTCAACTGCTCTTAGATACTGTGTAGGTACAGTACTTCGAGTGAGTATGCACATCGTTTCGTCGAATATGGATACGTTTCACCACTTCATGAGTAGGCAGGTGATACTTTACTACATGTTATCGAATTGGGAGATAGTTGAACATTCTACAACCACTTAGAAAGATCTTTATGCTATTTTATTTTCTCTTTATTTTCTCCGTATCTCAGTTGAGCTCAATCAAGTGCAAGAAACCCTTCTTGATATCTCGTACTTTCCAAAGTTGGAATGAGGCACGATCCCGCAGTTCTTTCAAAATCGCTCCTACCTTCCTTTTCTTCCTCAGTTCATACATAAAGTTCTGGCCCTCGACTCTTTCCTTCCTTCAATTTGTCTTGTCCATTGCTTTCTCTTCCTTCATTATCTTTATACCAAACATCTGTTACGATGGTTGCACACTGAATATCACCTCGTGGCATAATGCATTTCTACAACCTACAATATCCTTCATTATACCTAGAAACACATCTAAGAAATCCAACACGAATAAAAGTCCATCGTCACAAAGAAAATCGCAACTTTCGTCACGAATAAGAATGGACTCTTATGGTCCTTCGATACTGGCAACAACAATTCTTTTCCTCGTTCTCGGTGTTATTGTTGTCTCACTCCGTTATTATACTCGAGTTATCATTCGAAAAACCATTGGGCATGATGATTTTCTCATTCTCTTCGCTCTGGTTAGTTATGTATCTTCGAACCTCAGTAACTGCTATCCTGACCTAGGTGTTTAGGGCCTCTACATCGTGATGGCATCACTACTCTTCGTCGGCGTTCAACGAGGCATTGGCCAACATAAGAAAGGAATGGACACAGATGACATTGTTGAAAGCTCAAAGGTTGTAACACTACTCCCGAAGGCATACAATAAACTAACAGTCACCAGTACGTCTGGCTCACAATCTTAATTTACATCAATGCTGTTACCGCGGTCAAAGCTTCCTATGCCACATGTCTCCTTCGTCTCACTGAAGCCAGCCCTTGTGCATACGCTCTTTGGGCCGGGCTAGCAATCAATGTCATCATCTGCTTTATAGCAAGCTTCTACTTGATCTTTAATTGCCAGCCAATCTCATACGCTTGGACGCAGGGCGATTCGACTGTGGATGGATATTGTAATTACGACTCAGCGGATGCTCTAGGATACGCATGGGCTGGACTATCTATCGCATTATACCTCCTCTTTACCCTTATTCCAGTCGCACTTGTTTGGGATATGCAAATGCACATAAAAACAAAGACCTTCGTCGTCACAGTCCTAGGATTGGGATTATTGTGAGTGATACAAAATCCTCGTCTGGACTTTGCTCTTGCTGACTCTTCACCAGCGCAGGTGTTGCTTGTGCCGTCCGGATTGGAGTGTTTGCCGTGGATTTAGACTATACGGATCCACTCTGTCCGAAACTCTATCCATTTGTCTTGATTGAAATGACTAATAATATTCGCAGATTCAATATCGCCGATGCTCATCTGGTCCGTCGTGGAAGCTGGCTTAGGAATCGTAGCAAGCTGTATCGCAACTTTGCGACCCCTCCTTCGACACTACAACATTCAAGGCTTGGATGAGACCGAACCTGACGGCGAGGCCGCACAAGAACACGGTCATCGAGTCCACAAAATGTCGACCGTATCCCAAATTTTGAACAAGTTCACGGGTCATGGTGCACATACCGTTACAGTGGTCCACCAAGGAAGCCAAGCTACAATCCCTATGATTGGTCAAATCAAGGAGAGGAAGACATATCATATTGCTACTCTCCAGAGAAGTTCAGCGGACATGCAACATGATCGAGAAATGCAAGGAACTGCCGGCAAAGTTCCTGAGCCGGATGATGTAAATACTGGTGGCTGGTAAGAAAGGGGTAGTAATCAAAGTGTTTCTGACGAGATAGTAAGATTGGTCTTCGAGAAATGAAGAAGTTGGGTCAAGGATTCTTTTTGTATTCAGGTTATGGTACTGTTTTAGAAAATGCGAGTAGTCTTTCAGATCTTTGCATTCCTGCAATAAATTTAGAATCCGTTATAATTGTAGAGAATATCGCCCCGATGCTAATGTATACAATATTTGCAGGAGTTCTATATTTTATATCTACTCTACCCATGTTTGTAGGTAATCTGCAGGGCAAAGGGATAGGTATAGGGTAATATTCGGCAAATCAATCGGAGGTTTCTAGATACCCGAAAGTTTGCAGGGGAATATCCGGTCGCTATGCATATGCCGAGTCGGAAATCCTTCTTCGAGTTAGAACTTAGAGGTCCAAAATACCATGTGTGAAGTTCTCGAAGTTTTAGGAGCTTTTCGAGGATTTGAACAAATGAAGAGGCTGGGAGAATGCCGAGGCTTGTGGGTCTACTTGGTTTTACCACCAATGACATTTTGAGAGATATCTGGATTTGGTTTCCGGTAACTTTATCATACGAGATATATCATATATGAATCGTCTTCTTGGCGGTCGACATATATTATATACCGATAGACTCTATAAAGTTTATCGGGGATGCATGCAAGGCATGTCTTTTGTCACTTTTGGTCTCAGTTTTGCTTGTCCCCGGGGGGTCCTTTCTGTATGCATATGATGACTTGAAAAGTAAAAGAGTTCTAGCTGCGGGAATTAGGCTGAGTCCGGATAGTAACGCTTTTCCATGTTTGTATAAGTAGATGACTGCGCTGGCTGGTGATGTTTTGGTTCATCGCCAGATTGTTATATTCACGCTTTCAGAATGTTCATCTCCTATTTCCTCATCCTCGCGTTCGCAAGTTTACAGGTTCTTGCATCCAGACTCTTCGTCGCATCGTATACTGGGACTGTTAGTACTCTCTCACTTACCGAGAATGCTGATGGTGCATATTCATTAGATGTGATTGCCACATCGGCGGCTTGCGCAGCCAACCCTTCGTGGATTACTCTGGATCACCAGCGTGATGTTTTGTATTGTTCGGATAGAGGATTGGTTGCGAGTAATGGAAGTCTTAATTCTTTGAAAATTCAAGAGGATGGCTCGTTGGCGGCGTTGGATAGAGTTGAAACGCCGGTTGGAGCGGTGTCCACGGTGTTGTATGCTGATAGTACTGCGTTGGCTGCGGCTTATTTGTAGGACCTTCCCTTTCAATATCTTTATTCATGCTGACAGGATTTCCCAACAGTTCCTCAAGTAGTGTAGGAAGTTTTGACATCACGTCATCGACCAACATTGTCCCCCTTCAATCCTTTACCTACAACCTCACCACCCCAGGCCTAGACTCACAATACGAAACAGCACCCCATCCCCACGAAGCCATCACCGACCCCACGGAATCCTTCGTACTCGTCCCCGATTTAGGCTCCGATCTCGTGAGAATCTATCGTATCAACCAAGATAACAAGCTTCTCGAACCACTTGAACCATTGAGAACTCCAACAGGAAGTGGGCCTAGACATGCAAATTGGCTGGTCACGGAATCGGAAACGTATTTTTATCTGGTGAGCCAGTTGACGAATAGACTTACAGCGTATGAGGTCACGTATGAGAAAGATGAGACGTTGAGTTTTGAGGTCAAGTTTGAAAGGAGTCTTTTGGAAACTACGACGGAGGGGAGAGAACTGCAGTTCTATAGTGCGGCGGCGGGGATCCAGGTTACGGTATGTTTTCAAGAAATCTTTTTCTTACTTCCCCTTTGCTTCAAAATACCCTCAGGTCTAGAAAATTGCAAGCAATTACAGAACACTAATTCCCTCCAGCCCGATAACAATTACCTCATAATTTCCCAACGCAACGACACACACTTCACAATTCCCAATCCTTCCTCCTCCTCCATCAATGAAATCCTATCGGATAGTCTTCTAACCTATTCCCTCGACCACTCAAATGGTAATTTCTCACTTATCTCAATTGATGCAGCGGGAGGCAGTTTTCCGAGACAGTTTTCTATCAATAAAGCCGGGGATCTACTGGCGGTGGGACTACAAAATGATGGGCGGGTTGTGATTGTAAAGAGAGATATAGTGACGGGGAGGGAGATGGACATTGTGGCGGGGTTGGATGTGGAGGGGGAGGTGGTTTGTGTGGTTTGGGATGAGTGAGTGAGTTGATGAGTGAGGGATTAGGAAGTAGGTGGGAGAATTGTATGAGGTTCGTATTCGTACTCAGATTGCTTTTGGGAGTGGCGGATAATGGAGTATGAAACTAGTTTCGGCAATATCTTGATCTCCGTTCTTTTTACCATCATTTACTCCTAACGATCTCTATTTGTTCGATAGCCTTCAATCCTTTCATCGTTGCTATATCCTGGGATAGCATGTCTTACGGTACTACAACATTGACTGCCTTGGCTGAATTATATATCTATCTTGTTGTACTGGATGAATCATGACTTCGAGACTCCGTATCGGAAATGTTCACGTATAGATATCCGTCACCCATTGACGTGAAGGATACGACGATGATAGCTTGTGTTTAGTTCTCAGGCTACTGTTCCTATGTTCTCTTGGGTGTTGACGGAGCAGTGCTCTTAGAAATGTTCCTTAATGTCGTATTGGGCGTCACTAATGAACTTGGGGGGTGCCTTATTGATGTACAAGAACATCACATTGGCAAAGGTAATAAGTCTGCAAGCTCTTGATCATTCGATATCATCGACCAATCATGTGAGGGCAGCGGAGCTCAACATCTTTTTATTCTTCATAGCCCCAGCCTTATCATTTCCCAATATATAGACACCTTGTTGTCGTATCATGACGTTTTCACCGAACATTTTGAGTTTCAGATGAGAGCTTTGTATTGTGCTTTACTGGGCAGACATTCTCAAGAGCCAACGCCACAGATTTAGGTAGTCATGTTTTCTTTGTGCAAAGTTCAGCTTCGTTATGTTGGAGAACCGATTCTCCCATTTACTATGCCATTTTGGCGTTAGTAGTCCGTAGTCATATAGCTTTGAGAAATTGACCCTTTGTGGAAGATATTCAGGTCAAAATTTCGCTGGCATTCAAATACATCTTTCAGTATGCAAACCGTAATCATAGAGCCGATATGCAAGATCAACCTGGATGATCAATCGCGGCAGTTCAAGATTCAACATCGAAAGCCATTACCTACCGAAGTCCTCACTGGGTTGAAATGCTGCCAGCCAAACTAGAAGTGGCAACCCATTTTTTCTCTCCTTAACCACAGTACTAGTTCTACTTGAGTCGTATAAACATTAGATTTCAAGATAAATACTGATCCTTTGGTATTGACTCCAGGCAGTTGATTACATCCTACATTGTCCCCAAGGTCCTTTATAGTTATCTGACTTGGACTTGGAGTCTTCGACATTATCGAATTCTGGGCGTTACTCAACTGGGAGCGAACCGTTCTTCGGCTACTGCAACGTTACCGAGCCTCCTGCTAGCCCCTTACCCGTGCTTATGTCTTGCGCCTACAACTTGTAATTAGATAACCCAAATAATTCTATTGATAATTTCACGCTACTAAGACTCCGGTGCTAAAACTGGACCTGTTAAAAATTTGAAATTATATCCTGCGTTTATTTGAGGTTATGAAGCTTGGCTAATAAGCTTCATCCCAACCTGTCAATACAAACATAAATGCATTTTTAAGGGGTATCTTGACTTAAATGTCACAGGACGAACTAGATTGGTCTTGAGTTGAACTGATATCCATCATGGAATTTTGGGCACTTAATATCGGACGTCTTCACATCGAATACCTTCAACAAAGATCTTAAGGGACAGAAATGTCAACATAAATTCCGAAGCACAAAGAGATACATTATGCCTCGTGGATTTACGGTACCACCATTAATGTTTCTTTATTTCTTAACAATGGAACGAAAACTTTAGTTCTCATATCTCGTGGCACTTGCCTCTTATTGTTCCTTACTATTGTTCTCTGTTTTTTTCGGAGCTTGTACTTGAATGTTTTAAAAAGAAATGATATCGTATAATTGCCAATAGTAGACTCATATTATCTTTAGATGTCCTGAATTTCCCCGAACAATTTGTGGGAAAATCACGCAATCTTGTATCATTCATTACATTTGGTTTTGATATGAAATCATGTCTCCAGGGAAGCCTACCACAGATGACCATAGTGTCATCATTATCGGTGCAGGATGGCAGGGTATTGCAGCTGCCAGGACATATCTACAGCTCAAACCCAATGTCAAGTTGACCGTGATTGACTCGGATAGCAGTATCGGTGGAGTCTGGAGTATCGATCGATGCTACCCTGGGCTCATTGCCGATAGTCCTGTCGGCTGCTATGAATTCTCCGATATGTGCATGGACGAGGATCCAGAATTGGAGATGTGGAAAGTTATTTCTAGTCACAAAGTCGGGCAGTATCTTCGTAATTTCTCCAAGAGATTCCTTATTGACGAACACATACGCCTGAATACAAAGGTTCTTTCCGCAGTTCCTGAGAGAAAAACTGGTGGAGCAAGTAGGTGGATTTTGGAGGTTCAGGAGAAAGGGAAGGGAAAAGAGACACTCGAGTGTGATAAATTGATCGTCGCAAGTGGTCCCTCTTCGGATCCAAAGATGCCGGACCTCGATACAAGTCGATTTCGTGGACCCTTCTTTCACTCTCTATATCTTGGTGCTCGACATGCCGAGCTTACTGCCGATAATATCAAACACGTAACTGTGGTCGGAGGTAACAAGTCCGCTGCGGAGGTCGTTAATTTATGCGCATCGGCAGGAAAGAAAGTTACATGGTTGATACGGGAAGGTGGTGCTGGTCCGGGAATGCTTATACAAGCCAAATCAGGGGGAGTGCATACTGCCGCCATTGCATTCTCCAGATGGGCGGGTTTAACGGTTCCGTGCTTGCTAAGAACCCATGGCTTTTGGTATTGGCTTTTGCATAGTGGACTCTTTTGGCCCGGTATTTGGTTGGTTGGAAAGTATTGGGAATGGGCTTCTCATTATATGTTCAAAGGACTCTATGATCAGAGTGAGACTGCCAAGAAAATTGCACCAGATTTACAACAGTAAGATGTCCGCGCATATCTTAAAATTTTATTTTACTAATAAATAATAGTCTATTCTGGTCTACATCTGCACCCTCTTTTCTCCAAGAAGATAGTACTCTATTCGCAAAGCTGAACGAAGGAATTGTGATAGATGTCCAACGCACGCATATATCTAAGGTCCTTTCTGACAGTATTACTCTCGATAATGGTACTACTGTTGCCACAGACGCACTAATTTTCGCCACTGGTTGGAATCTGACCTTTTCCAGATTCTTTTCGCCTGAAATACGTCTTGAGCTCGACCTGCCGATTCAGTTTGGTAAAGAACCTCCCGCTTTGAAGGCATACTGGAATGAACTTGATACCGAAGCCGATAAATGGGTCCATAAAACTTTTCCTTTCTTGTCTAATCCGCCGAAGACTTATGAAACCCCGCCGGACCACACACCGTATCATCTCTATCGCCAATCAGTTCCCATTACGCTTGCCACTCGCAACGACCGTTCGATTATTTTCCTTGGTGTCCTGGCATCCCCACAAATTCCTACATATGCTGAGCTCTCGTCCCTTTGGGACATTGCCTATCTCGAGAATATGCATTCTCCAGAAGTTGACAAAGTTTTCAGTGACAAGTTGACCATGGATCTAGATACCGCTCGGACTAATGCATTTATGAAGTGGAGATATAGGAGAGCGGGTATCATCGAGCCCAATGTGGGAGCGGAGGTTCAAGATCTGTGTGATTTACTCTGTACGGAGTTGGGGGTAGAGGCAAATAGGAAGAAGATGGTTGGAGGGTGGAAGAGTTCGTTGAATGAGTGGTTCGCACCGTATAGAAGTGCGGATTATAAGGGGATTGTGGGGAAGTTTCTGGAGGTGGTGAGGAAGAGGGAGGGAGGAAAGACTAAAAATGAGTAGACGTTTTCGGAAGTTGGAATTGTATGCAGTAGTCATGGAGGTGGGGGATTTTATGTTCATTGGCATGGAAACAGGCAATTGCATCTTGTATTGCTCTCCAATTAAACAGCAGTCTGACAACAAATGACGTTTCATCAATTACTGCTAATACATATAAAGTCGGGCGAAATGCTTTGGCTTGTACAGACAAGGCGGTTTCCGCTCGTCCTTTTTATTGTATGTACTGCATATAATGTAATAAAAAATTGGCTGTGCGTGTATATGTTGGCCTACGTGAGAGATTTAAAGAATCTAGAAGAACACACAAAACTCTAACATCCCAACGAAATAGGGGCACTCTTCAGACGACGGACATCAAGATGCGTTTTCATAGGTCTGAATCTTTATTTATAGACGACACATAACTGTTGATCTCATGCTGATAACTGATTATCAAAGGTTTGGTCAATGATTCGAGAGATGTTTCTTTAGGACGGCCTAAACATTTAATTAGCTACTCGAGTAGATATCCACGAGTAGTGGGGAGGAAATTACCTTTAAAAAGAAAATAGTAAGGCGGCATGCCATGGGAATCACTTCTGAGGCTACTCCGCTGTCTACAAAAAGAGGTGACCGAAATTCCTACATCTCCATAACATAGGAATGTTAAATCTATATGACCCTTATCCTACTCAATGGAAATGACACAAAATGATTTAAGATTTTAAATACCCCTAAATCTTTTTGGCAGAACACATTTATGTATTCACTACTCAATTATTGTAAAACTAGCCAGCCAATATTATACCATTCTGAGGTATGGCTAACTTCGGCTGAGAATTGCTATATGATCATACATATTTGTGTTAGACTCTGAGACCGGAATATTGAGAAGACCTGTAATGGGTAAATTTCTATTGTATCGCAAGGGTATAGGATTTAGGTGACTGCTATTCCGTGACCCAGCCTCAAAATAGGGGTCCAACAAGCGACTCGAAAATATCACAATACTCACTGGCCATAATATTGTCTTGCTGTCGTTCCGCAAAAAGTCATATTAAGATTCACTCTTAAAATAATCCACTTCGATAAATTTATAAATACGAACAAATTCGCCGCTACTTCACTTATATATACCGGTAGTGGAAAATAAACCAAGTGACTTGGGTATGCACTTTAATGGATCATCCGCTATTGTTAATCTCAGCTGTCACTCAAAAGACTGCAATGAGACTTACTCTTGAACTTACCATATCTTGACGGCTCTGTGAAAGACTTACAGATGAAGCAGGCTTAGATGATGCTTCACCACTCTAGTACTCCAAAAACATACCTACTCGTCCATACCTCATTTTCCCCACCTACCACAACATAAGGGGAAACCTCGTCAAATGCGCAATTCACGTATCCACTTTCATGCATCATCCGCTATAGCATGACTTTCCTCTAAGTGATACGGAAGAAGGTGATGCAAAACACAAACCGGAAGTTGATGATTAAAGAAAGGATAGAGAACTAGACTCTAGAGCCAAGATCCTCTTTCCACACCCATATAAAAGCGTTTTTTGAACTGATTTTCCTCGTGAACGTGGTCGCAAGTGAACTTTCGCCGTTTTCTGTCCTTTTACATCCTCTATCTTCGAGAAAGATGTGGTGGGATTCATTCCTCGACTTTCCCTATCCTAATACCTCTTTACCCCAACCTCCGAGATCAGCCAAATATTTTGCATTTCAACAATATAGTTATCATCAATAACTCCTCGATCCTCGCCCCAACTCTCAGAGCATAGGCGGGGTTTTGTCAAACAGCCAACCCTGAAGGTGTATCTGGGATTCATTACGCCTTGGCATATTATGACAGATGGAACAGAATACAATAAGAACAATAGTTCTATTTCGTTGGTAAAATAGAGAGTTATATAAGAGAGAAACATGCCTCCCTTATTACTATCAATATATTCATATATATCATCTTTCATTGCTGGAAGCTTTTAACTTGGACACGTGCCCCTTGATTATTCTATCTCCAGACATGTATCTTCCTAATTATTCAAAAACTTTGATGAGATCCACTCCCAGATCGGCCCACCCCGATACCTCTTTAAAAAGGACTACCACTGTCCGAGATCAACCAAATCTCTTACAATTCAACGATATACTTACCAGTCAACAACACCATTATCTCTGCCCAGGTCCATCAGCATCAGATACCTGACACAATCTGATAAGATTTGAACTATCAAAGGTCCAACTTTATGTGAGCTATATAATCTCGAAAAGACTAAAGACAGCATCTCTAGGGACAAAGATTTTCATTCCACCACTTTGAAAGTTTTATCCCACTGCTCAAAGGTTTCGCAGTCCTGAATGATATTCAAATCCTTGAGAATCGCACATCAATAACTTCAGCATATTCCAGCAAGAACTTGAGACAGGAAGGTATAAGGCCAAAGGACCAACAATTCTAATAGTCATATCATCTGTCACCAACTAAAGAAAGAACCTGGGAGGAACTCAAACTCTCACACTCAGACAACTTTGTGGGTTGCCTCACCAAAACAGAAAGTGTATACTTCCTGGTGAATTTTAGTCTATGGGAAATTGTATGTTGAAGATCTCACTATTCTACCAAATAACCAAACAACATATAAATCCCACACCTCTTGGAAGAGTGTGGGAATTGCAAGTGGCTCAAACCTATCGTCTTGGTTTCTTTTCATACCTCATCAAGGGAAGAAAGCATCTAAAAACATACAGGACAAGCAGACTACAAGACAACAAGAATTTTTTGTAGTCTTCATCCAAACAAAAAAAGAATACAGAGGTCCTGAAAAGTCCTGAATTACAAAGGTCTCAAAATTATCGAGAAAGTTAGTATCCCTTCATAACAACCGTTGCTCGGTTATTCACACATGAAAATCCATCTTCTCATGTGTATATAAAGGGGAGTGAATATAAGCTCTGGACATATCTAGCGCCCAAACTTCCTCACAACTCCAAAATCCTTTGAACCATTATTCACAACACATGCCAAGGTGTAGGTGTTATTGTGTTTATGTCGTAAATCATTCACATTTGGCTCTATAGATTATATTGGTCTCCAAACATATTGAGGTATCCATGGTCCACTACATGCACACATTATCAACCACCCTATTCAGCTAAGGTTCCCTGCTCGAACAAATGAAATCTGGACAACGACACATCATCAGAAATTGACTCAATGTCAGTTATCTTGCGGTCAACCAACTGATCTCACAACGACGCCGAGAGAACTGAGAACTGACCCATGTCCAAAAGAGTTAGCTCGATTCGAATTTTCAATCTTCCCATCATCTCAAATTAATATTGAGCTGAGATTTGAATTTCAGGCACAACCTTCGCATTAACCTCCAGCAGACACCTGGATATTTTCTCGTCAATTTTAAAGGTTACGGTACCAGGCCTTAGCTCTGGTACTCATTACACTCTCAAAATCCATTGCCCATCTTCTTTATTATCATCGATCTGAGGCGCCACAAAATCACTCTCCTTGCTCTTGGGAGCTCACTACCTGTGAGCAGTCGTATTCCTTCTCAGGCTGCTTCTCTTCTCGAAAGCGCACGTCTATCGCTCTTTGCGCTCCTTTGTGCAATTCTATCTACCACCTGTATTATCCGCTCACCCTGAATCAAAATGCGTCTTCCGAACGCGTTGGCGATCATGGTCGTCTTAGTCGTCCATCTTTGCTTTTTCCTTGGCGTGGTTGGGGTTTCAACTACTAGCATTGATGTGTTGACGCTCACTTCTTTCACCACCGTCGTCCCTAGACCCATCATCATCACGACCTCAGAGGTATGATTCCCACATTCTCAAACGGCATATTTATAGCTAACGGATGTTTGTAGCTTGTGGCTCCTACCAATATAGACCCTGGTGATCTTACCGTCACGGAACAACATGTCACAACTGCCACCTCAGGACCGACATCCACAACGACCATGATCAGCTCGAGTACTAAGAACAAAAGTACAGAATTTTCGACTTCCCATAGCTCGCCCACGATCTCTACAAGCAAGTCAAGCAGTACACCGGTCTCCTCTTCTAAGACGCCATCCTCGGCAATAGCATCTGGTACACAAGTGGCAGCTCTACCCGACGACAAACCCCACAAAAGTTCAGCACCGATTGTGGCTATTGTAGTTTCAGTTGTCATCGGGGTCATCGCAATCCTTGCAATTGGTTTGCTTATATGGTGGTTACGTAGAAGGAACTCGACGAAAAGAAATGATACGTCAACCCGCACGGATATATCGGAAGGAAATATTCATGATGGACAAACTACGTACATACACACAGGAAATAGAGTTTCACGCCAGGGAAATCATGCACCAGAGAATCGCAGAAGCGTCTTCGACACCCTCGGATTAACAAATAAAAGATTGTGGCCATCTTGGCCTTTCGGTGATAAAGTCATGGGCACCGAATCTATCAAGCATGCAATCATAGGAGCGGGATTACCAATACCTTCAGCACCGCCACGGCCTGTACAATCTTCTCAACAAGAATCGCCTTATATCACTGATCCTCGACCAGCTGAACTAGCTGCTGAACCAGTGGTTCTCCACAATAATGAAACCTCGACTCTTCGGCAGTCAGGGTCTTCGAATGGTGTTTCCGATGCTCCTCTTATTCCACCGAAATCACCGAAAAGAAATTTCACGACGTACGGAACAAATGGCGGCAATCAGCAACCTTGGGTTGAACCTTCCTCAAGCTTCTCCATATCTTCAACTGAATCTTCTTCTCCTAACACGAAGTCCACTGGTAGCAAGGATGAAGATCTCACTCAAGTCACGCCATTGGCTTGGCTTGAGCCATCGTCTACATTCGCCGTCGTGAACAGAAACCGGTCATACAATGCAATTGCTCCTTCTGTACAGGCTGATATTCTTCGCACCGTTGCAGAGCGCGACAACACCTTAGCAATGCTAGAAGGGAGAGAGCAACCACATGTCACGGCTGCCATTCCCTCATTTCGCGGACATAATGCAGAGCGACGCTTCTACGAGGAGACCGTCACAAAGGCGAAGCAAAGAAGCCGAGAACGACAAGCTGAAATTGGAGGAAGATTTCCAATCGCCCCGGAGCCAGGCACTGTACATGAAGACACCCATCATATAACATATGGCACTACAGAGTCCGGTGTATCTTTCCAGCAGGTAGATATTCATAACAATTTCGGGGGTTGGATTTGAGAACTCGCTGAGGTAACACTAATGAATAAATGGCAGGACAGCATTGACAGTTTCTACACCTTGCCATTCATCATTTGCGGGTTTGCGTTATCTCTCCTTTCTTATGTTTTTTGCTGTTGATTTGTCAAGTTTCAAGCCTGCCAGCTTGACAGAAATGACTGATGAGGAATGGACAATGGATGGATGGATGGATGGATGGTGGAGCAGCCAAATGGAGGCATAATATGGGTTGGGTTGTCAATGGAAATAAAGCTCAGGATCACAGAATACATCTCCTCTCTCTCTCTGCTTCTTGAGAACTACCAGAAGTCTTAATAGTAATAGAACAAAAACATACCTTTCTCCTTAGTGTAGTGATAGAATCATAATAAGAATTACCGTACAAAATGTATCTGGTTGAATTTAAAGAAAAAGAGATTGAAGAGATGATATCGGACAAATTTCAACCCGACAGGTGCCGATGATTACCCGATTGAATCCTTCTTGTGAACAAATCTCCCTCCAGGTTTGAACGAAAACTTGATGTTTGTTACCACAATATACCTTTAGGATTTCTACCCACAATGGCTCCTCGTGGTATCGCGATCATCATTGGAAGTGGTGCTGATAATGTAAGTTCTCTATTAGCGTTTTTGTCTCTCTTGATACGGGGGTATATTTATAGGTATATTTATATATCTATCGAACTCATGATAGTGCTTGAATACTTAAGCTTTATGGGAGTCGTGACCTTCAAAGCTTCTTTAGATATTCAGAGCCATCGAATCTCAGGATTTCAAGCGTTCAATACATATACACTGCTATTTCACATATGCCAATAGGTCCCATATACTTTTCTTGACTAACAACATAAAAAGGGCCTAATTGTATCTCGAATTCTTTCAAATCCCAATATGGGCAAGTAAGTGAACCAAATCAACGTCCCCAAACCATTCATTGACAATCCTCAGTTTAGCCGTTGCCCTTCTCTCCCGAGATCGACAAGCACTCCCCATCATACGCAGGGAGATCCTCACACAAACCCCCGGGTCCATTATAGAAACCTTCTATACAAACCACGACCCCACAACTCTCCGGAACGCCTTTAAAGATATTCGCAAACACCCCTCTTTCGACTCCCTTCCTCTGGCCCTATCTGTGTTCACCCTCAGCAGCCACAGCTCCACACCATTCATGGACAAAGCCTTTCAATCCTATCGCGAATCCATACCTACCGACTCAAGCAACAGTTTGTACATTTATGAAAAGAGCTCAATTCCATCTGTGGGGGCAAAGGATGAGTGGCAATTGATAGGTAGTTTTATTTCGCCGAAAAGAGCTGCCGTTTTCCTGGATATGAGTCTCTCTGAGATGAGAAAACATGTGATGTCAGGGTTGATATATAAAAATCGATATAAATTTGCTTATAAATAGTCCTTGACAATTTTGTTTTCGGCCAAGAATCAGTAAAGCTTCTGTTTGGGCATCACAGCAGTGAACTTTCTGAGATTACCGGCAAGCAAAATGGAAGCACCATATTTTACCGGAACGACGGCGACTGGCAAGCAAACGCAGAATGGTTGAGTCGGTTGGCGAGACGATGGGGATGAGTGAAAAGGTGATGCATATGACTGATGCACGAGATTGTAATTGAAGCATTGAACACCAGGACGAAGAGGCGGGAAGGCTTGGAAATGGTTTAATAGGCGAGCGGTAAGTTGTTCCACCATATTATTATCTGAATCTTCTATACACAAACCTACATATGTTTTCATCTACTATTGGTAACATAATGCTGATTTTATCTCACGTGCATAAGTAGGGAAGACGGAATCATGATAGAGTGAGTAAGAGCCAGCTATAAGAATTTCCAAAGCTACTTTATTAGCACCAAAAGCCCTTTCTGCACAGAGTAGACAACAACTACTCCAAGCACGCAAGTGCGCCTTCGTGGACCCCGAGAAGAGAAGGGTGTTTAACTTATTTGTACAACGGATCGCTCTGTTATCATATGCTTCCTGTAGGAAAGGCGATGGGCATGCCAAAATAGTAGGAATATTCTTCCACTTGGTCTCACTAATAGGGAGGGTATCGAATAGTTGAAATGTTTCTCCTCCTACGTCTTCTTTTCTCTCTCTTGAATGTCAGTTTAGCAGGAATTGCTATTATTTTCTGACACATCTTCAAGTCGTCCAATAATTCACCTCTTTATATCCCTACTCTACACGACTTACCTAGATTCAGACCCCCCAATCCCAATTTCAAATACTCATCGCTCGTCCCAGCCAATAATACCCAATCGTTTCCTAAACAAAATCAGAACGTCACCACGCTCAGATTCCATCTCACCCGACTCAATCCAATCCAACCTTGCTCCCTTCACGAGACTATTATACCCCACCACTCAATCACGCAATCCCTCATCAATATGACATGACAACAACGATCGATACAGCCCTACAGCCCTACAGCCCTACGATATCCCAGCTCATATCCTGGTTCTTTCCAATCTCTTAATATTGAGATGATATTTGAAGAATTCGCAACGAAGGGAGTTCTGGGTGTTTGTATATAGCTTGTTTGTTAGTGGATTATTAGAGGTTGTTAATAGGAGTTCCGATGATTCAATTATCAAAATGATAGATGATATTGTAGTGTGGGATTGACTCTCAAGTAAATATATGCGAATTGTGACGAACACAAAATCCAACAGAGTGAATAGTGGTCTAGTATCTAAGATTACAAACTTCAGGAGATCCTACTAAGCTCATCTGAGTTTCCATGCAAATCAATCAGTATTCTATATTATTTCCTTCCACTTCCGCATAATTGTTCTCTTCGCCATTCATCTCATATATCTTATTCCAACCTCACCTCACGTCTCCAACAAATCTGAAGCAACAAAAAATAATCATAGCAAGTGATTCTCCCTCAGCACAGAATCCAGAGAACATGCATGAGGGGTTAATTGGTAGGATAACCTATAACGGCGCTAAAAGTATGGATCATAAACTACTGCATGTGATTCCGATATCGAAAGTAAGTACAAGTCAGTCAGTCCCTTTGAGAATTTCGTGCAAAGTTGCCCGAAAGTATAGCATGATCAAGATCAGCATAACAAGGCCTATTGAAAGTCTTCTAAAATAAATTGTAATTTACAGCCCTTGGCATATTCAAGGATGTTCTTGTAAGTCACTTGGAAGTTGGAATATCATATTAAATTACCTATATATATAACCGGTATATCCTCAAGTATCACAAAGATAATGTATTTCCCCAGTTCTCCGTATACCGGTAATCCACCTCGAGATGAAACACACTATATTATTATTATTATTATTATTATTATATCCTGGCTCTGCTCCCCCAGTAAGTAGATGTTTCCTATACAGTAGAGAGAACGCCATAAATAATAAGGTAATCGGTAATCTATTAAATTCTTCTATATATTCCATACAAATATTCATAAAGAATTCCCTGAATATCCTAACATAGCTAGTTCAATATATGCATATCCGATACTTAGCCCCTTGGTATATTCAAGAAAGTAAAGATTGACAATTTAATCTTTTTAATCTTCTCCATTTTCTTCTGGACGCGGCGTTACATACCTGTAATAAAACTCAGAATCAATCCACTTTTGTTTAAAGAAGAGAATCCTCGATTGTTCTTGACTTTGTTCTATGACTGGTGGGATGTTTTATTTTCTTATTTATAGGAAACAACAACGTAGGGTTCCATATATATTTGGTACTGATATGCGGTCTTCGCTCATCTTTTACTTGGATACATGGATTACTACGCAAAACATGATGATTCCGATATGAATGAAGCATAATGAAGGAGGCTGGTTATTTTCAGACTTCAGGTTTTGGTGGCTCATATCATCCGTACGAATCCTACCAGGTGATGCATTATTGCGATGGGTTTAACGGAGAAGGGATGGGGGGAGGGGGGGTGTGGAGGGATGTACGCAGAAGATCTAAACGCAGGTAGACGCTTGGTTGGTTTTGGGGCAGCTCATTTTCTTACCTCTCCCCTCCGGATAGCCGGCAGAGTTGCCAATCAATCAGTCAGTCAGCAATCAGTGAGCCCCCAACTCCCAGTTGAATAACTGACGGATATATTGTAATCGCTGCTGAATGGCTGATATCTCTGATCAGTTGCTAATATTGAATTCCCCCTTTGATGCCCTTCCCCTTCGATACCACCTCTCCTTTCGATATCACCTCCCCCTTCAATATCACCTTCTTGTCCTTCAAAATATCTTCAAAAATACCTCAAATCCACTCCAAAATCAATAAATTTTCTATTTTAAGTCTGAATATCGTATTAACTAGTTATAAAGATATTATTTATCTGTTTATTCTACTAGCTTATAGTAATTGGTTTTTTTTACTAAAAAAACTTTTTGAATAAATATTTCATAATAATATTAAAATATTTATAATATATAATAATAAAATTAATATTATTTCTTTTTCTCTTTTTGTTTATAATACTATTTCTTTATTTTAAACCTATTATATATTCTATTCAAGTTTATATTATTTTTATTTTCATTTATATATATAATAATATTCAATTTTTTCATTAATTTCGAAAACAAATAAAGTATTTCTCTAATAATAAAAGGAATTCTAATGAAATGTCTAAGTGTCCCTTCTAGTGAAGATAATACCTAGATAAGTCTCGATTCTTCCAAAAGACTCGCAGACGAACGCGCGCTTCCCCGTCAATCCAAAATTCATCCCAATTTCTTAACGTCCCAGCATCCCCACAGTTTCTCCTTACATCTCTCCACATATGGTCCAGACAAGACAAACAAGCCGAAAATCTCCAATGTTACATGTTAAAATCGGGGTAGATAGAACCGATCAATCCTGGCTGGAAGGTTTGTCTACGTAATTCTGGAGATCCTTGTTCTGAAAATCACGGAGAAGGGGTTTAAATGGTATTATGAATCTGCCCGCCAGAGAAGGTCTTGGCATTGAAACTTCCTTTATCAAATAGATATAGAGGTTCGTTTGGTAGGTCTTGTCTCTCCTGAAAATCAACATCGTTCTCTCTCTCTCTATATCTCTCCTGTATCTGCATTTGGTCAGCTTTTCATTATTATTAAGATACCCATCTGTTCGTTCTTTTGATATATTATCTATTCACTTTACCATATCATTCTTTGGAAATTAACCGTATCACATCTTTCACAATGTTGAACTCACGTCTCTACACGCCGAAACCAATCACGGATATTTTCACACCCGACACAGACATCAACCGTCGAAACTGCCGCCGTATAGTCCCCATGAAAGTTCTCATTCTCGGTCTGGGTAGAACCGGAACTGCATGTAAGCTTCCTATACCCCAAATCCTCCTTTAAACCAAACACTGACAAGTCCCACAGCAATGAGAGCAGCAATGCGCGAGCTTGGCTACGTCGACACCTACCACATGATGTCAGCCAGTATTGAGAACCCTCCTGATTGTCTCCTCTGGCGCGATGCATTCGACGCCAAATACCACAACGGCCCCGCCTTCACCCGCGCAGACTGGGACCAACTTCTCGGTCACTGCCAAGCTGTCTGCGATTGGCCCGCCGTAGCCTTCGCCTCTGAACTCATTGCCGCTTACCCCGAAGCCAAAGTCATTCTCACAAACCGCGAAGTCAATTCATGGCACGCATCTACTCTCAAAACCGTAAACTGGCGTGTAAACGATTGGGAACTTGAGAAGTTGAAAGGCTGGAGTTGGGCAGCTAGCATGTACAAGCCTATGTTACAAGAATTTTTCGACTGTTTCTTCAAGGGAGATTTCGAAAATCAGGGAAAACAGATTTATACCGAGCACTATGAGAATGTGAGGAATATCGTGAAGGCATTGGGACCAGCTGGGGAGGGCAGATTACTGGAATACAAAATCACGGATGGATGGGGCAACTTATGCGAGTTCTTGGGAGAGGCAGTTCCTAAGGAAAGACCGTTTCCAAAGGTCAATGATAACAATGATTTCATTGATCGATCGAGGTGGAGAAACAGATGCCAGGCGATGAACGTGGTATTTAGATACTTTTGTATTGTGGTCGGGTGTGGGTTAGCCTATATCTGTCTGATGAGGATTTGGAATATGTTGTGAATGAGAAGGGATGGAGGGGTAGCGGAGGGACTTCGGAAGGGAAGGGTATGTGAGAATGGGGGATATTTGGGATGGGAAAATTCGTTGGTCGGTACATATCTTTCGAAGAAAGCATTTGGGGTTTGGGTTCTGGCTAGAACGTATGGGATTGTACTGTACATTTTGGCTCTTGCATCTGTTTTTGTTTTTCTTGGCTCTTGTATACCTTGGTAGCATATATCCCACCTCATGAGGTCGTTCAATTTATCCTTTAGAAACAATCAATCCACTTGCAAATTTACCGTATCTCGTTTTCGTTCAGTTTGTGACAAATCAGTTCACATTAAAGACTTTGATTAATGATGATTTTTGCTGCCCTAAAATCTGCTATTAAAAACCAGTATTGCATGCATGGGAATATTGATTTTCGACTCTTGAGCCGCTATTCATGATCCGTAAAATATACATACCGGTACTGTACTGCCCTATCCATTGGGGTAAGACGGCTGAAATACTGTATTGATTTGAGCTCGAGCAATGTATATATGGGAGTCTCTACAACAGCGAGGACAGATGTGAGGAGGAAGGCGAGAAGAGAAAACAATGACAATACTTTCAACCCCATGGTAACCTAATGGGAAAAGCAACAAGAGAATAGAAAGATGTATATCACTTGCTCATACGAGATCTTGCAAATGAATGAACAACAATCGACAGGGGAAGAGATCAGATTCAAACCTACCGATTCTAAGTAGGATAAAGAGGCAAACGACGCCCAGAAATTAAATATGAAGTTATGGAAAGTATGGAGGCATATCAACTCCCACCAATGTGTATGCGGGGCCGAGGGGTTATGGTGACTTCTGGTAAGGAGCCTCGAAGCTCAGAGACTATTGTGAAGGAAAAGGCACTTTCAAGACGGCTTAGACGACTCAAGCAGTGCTAGATGGTGTTTTGCATGGCGCATATAGAAATACCTGAATACGTCTACTCCGTACTCCGTATGGGTCTACGAGTACTGTAGCACATACTTGAGTACTCGTACATAGTTGACGTATGCATACGAAATAGCAAATCATAATTCGTAAATCGTAATTCGTAAGTCGTGATACTTCTCAGATTGATTGTTATGTTTAATAATTTGAGATAATGTGGGACAATCGCCGTCACAACGGAGAGGAGAGATGGCGGAGCCAAATTACGACGCGCCAAGACATTTCGGGCGGGCGCTTGCCCCGCGCTTCTTCTGATGAACATTTTAATGATTTCTTGCTACTCGTACAAGTGCGAATGTCCATCAATTGGAACATTACTGTAATATGAAAACAATATACTGTATTGTTTCATATACAAGTACTTCAGTGACCACTGACCACTGACCACTAACCCAGTCTCTATCTCATAGAGCTCTGATTCCTCTAACAGATTGCCTCAAAATCCTCAATGGCTAACGGGTAATGGCTCAAGTTGTACCATAACCGTACAATGTACATGCTGGTACTACATGGGGTTATTCAGTGGAGAATCGGTCGAAACTCGTTAGTGCCAGTGCCGCGTACCTTACTGCTGCACTGTTATATCCTTGCTCGTCTAATTCTCTTTATATTTATTCCTATTTCGATTAAAAGATTATATATTAAACAAGAACAAAAAGTAAACCAGGCGAGCGAGAACCAACAGTCTTTGCGAAAGTGCCAGGTGTGTCAGGTGTGTGCAAGAACTTTAGGAAGATGGGAAGTTGGGATCTCAGGTGGATCATGAACGCAGCCATGTGCGGCTCGTCTATCAGTTATGGGGCAAACATGATTTTGAGATTGATGGATGATGTATATCACCAACAAGGATAAGGGAAAGGAGAATTTTACTACTGCAGAGGGGATGTCCGAAATGCTTGGTTGATGAAGATCGAAAAATAGAGTGGAATTTCATCTCTTCTACTTTTGGCCTGTATCTTCCATCTATGATTCATTCTTTTGGTTCCTCTTCTATCCTTATCTTCATGTAACTTTGGCATCTTGGCACAATTCTAGACCGAGCAGCCCAATTTCTTTCAATCTAACTTCTTTTTATTCTCTTCTTTACTTGTTGGTTTGTACTATTCAATCTTTCTGTCCTTTCTATTCTTTTCCTGTCGATTTTGGGATCTCGTATTTTCCATCTCTTTGTTTTGGCTTCAAGTGAATCTGATTGGCCATGTCGGAGAAAACCAATATTCCAACACCTTTATGGTCACCAGCCTTACCCGAGCACAGAGCGGTAACAGGTTTCCATCGCCGACATACCTCTCTCGTGCCTGCATCCCCACGTGAGACCTCCCGGTCACGATGTAGTACTTCCTCAGAACCCGATTCGGAAGCATCTGGTCCCAAACCACAAGGAGTGACATGGATGTCACTGCCGCGAAAAGACCAATTAGCCATCCTTTTTTTCTCTAGATTGGTAGACTTCTTACAAGTTGCTTCGCTGCAAGCTTATATGTTCTATCAGTTGAAGAGTTTTGATCCAGGGTTGTCTAATGCTGCTATTTCGTCCCAGGCGGGAATATTGCAAGGGTGTTTTACTGGAGCTCAGGTTTGTACTGCGGTACTATGGGGTAAGGCGGCTGATACCTGGGGGAGGAAGATGGTTCTCATGATTGGATTGGTTGGAACGGCAATATCATGCATGGGATATGGATTCTCAACGACGTTTTGGCAAGCAGCTCTATTTCGAGCCTTTGGTGGTGCTATCAACGGTACTGTTGGAATAATGTTAGTACATTAATCTTCTGTTGTCAAAATCATAATTGCTGAACCTTTTCAATTAGACGTACCATGGTTGCGGAGTTTACTAAAGAGAAGAAATATCAATCTCGAGCATTTTTGATCTTACCTATGAGTTTTAACGTGGCTGGCATATTGGGTCCAGGTATGCATATATAAGTTTTGACCAAGCACACCATCGTGTACTAATATTGCTCATAGTCATGGGTGGATTACTTGCAGATCCAGCAATGACACTCCCCGGTCTTTTTGGGGACCAAGCCGCATTCGGTTTCGAGTGGCTTCAATCATATCCCTATGCTCTTCCCGGTATCCTCAATGCCGTCTTCCTAGCAACTACCGGCGCCATCGTGTTCCTGGGGCTAGAAGAAGTACGTGCTCTTGGCGTGACATACATCCCGATGTCTCCACCCCCGCATATTTGGATAAGAGATGCTGACTTTTGAGGTTAATTCAGACTCTTCCTTCAGCACGTGGCCAATTTGACTATGGAATTAATCTTATGAATCGAATTAAACAATCGATAGGCTTTGGAACCCTCGTTGCTCCTATCGACTACTCTCATCTCGAGATCTCAACTGATAACCTCGATACGTTCGAACCCAAATCAGTAACTCATCCCACCGTAAATAAGTTACCCTTCAGTCGCATCTGGACCAAGAATGTAATCTTCACCCTCATCACCGGCGCCTTCTTCGATTTCCATCTTGGAGCCTTCACAAATATTTGGTCGCTCTTCCTGTCCACCCCTCGACCTACCTCCGCCGATTCACGATCTCTCCCTTTTGTATTTACGGGCGGTCTCGGTATGCCTGCTGCCACCGTCGGTTTCGCAACTTCGATTCTGGGCGTCTTGGGCATGGCTCTACAAGTCCTACTTTATCCGCCTATACACGCAAGACTTGGTACTCTCCTTTGTTTTAGATTTTTCTTGATCCTATTCCCCGTCGCTTATTTTTTTGCTCCATATTTAGCCGTATTGCCGTCTAGCACCTCAGCGCCAGAGCCGGCCGCCAGACCTGCTATTTGGGTTGGCATTTTCCTTGTGCTTTTACTTGCTGTTTCGGCAAGAACATTTACTCTTCCCGCTACAATTATCTTGTTGAATAATTGCTCGCCTCATCCTTCTGTTCTGGGCACGATACATGGGATTGGGCAATCGGTATCGGCTGGTTTTCGCACGGTGGGACCAGTGGTGGGTGGAATCTGGTATGGACAGGGACTGGAAAAGGGGATGGTGGGATGGGCTTGGTGGGAGACGGCCGTGGTGGCTGCGGCGGGGTGTGTAACGGCTATGTGGGTTTATGAAGGGAGTGGACATGAGATATTCTTAGAAGGGGAGGAAGAGGAAGAGAGTGAGGAGATGGAGATGCATGGGTTGATTAGGGAAGGACAAAGGAATAGAGGCGACGGGGCCTTGTCTGAGAGGCAGGGGTTGATGGGACTGATGGGCGGGAGTACCAGCTTGGATTTGAGAGACTTGGTGGATGATGAGGTAGAACGGGGAAATATGGCGGGAAGTAGTACGGCTAGTGGAAGCATTGGGATGAGGTAAGGGTGGTGTATTGGGATATAGAAGAATGAGTAGCGGTGGAATGATATAGAAAGACGTATAAGTGTATTATATTGCTATATGATATCATGGGTTATGTATCGTATCTGAGGCTGGCTAGACCAACAATCTGAAACCAAGTTCAAAATACACTAATTATATTTGAGACTTCAGATATGTTCTACTCGTATTTTCAACAATAAATGTTAGTAATTATATAATGTTATATCAGGAATTGTGAACTACAATAATAAATGAAACAGTTTGTATTATATTTATACTACTCTTGAAAATAGTTTCAATGAAAACAATCTTTGAACTTTTGTTATATTCTACAATAGATTATAAACTCCGATTAAATTATATAATAATCACAAGAATCATGACATACGGTCAACACTCTCTTAAATTCCCGACTCATCACCGGTCTCGGAATAACACCCTTCTCAATCCTATTCGCAAGCCTCGTAAGCTCCTTCAGATTTCACGGAGAATATACACTTGTACTTATCTCCCAGACAGCCAATTGTTCATCCACCTATCTCCTCATCGCATATACGAAGGGAGTTCTCCCTTTCATCAACCTTTGTGCTTTGGCATTAACACCTCGATATACCACATAAAGTACCGTTGGTTGTGGTAATACCGAGATTAAAGTAGATATTAAGCGCAGCGGGTCATTCACCTACAAATGCAGGAGCAGTGGAATTAGCAACTGCAAGATTAACAGCCTAACCGCAAGATTTAAATATATGACCTGCAAATCAGAGTACTTTTTGAAGAGAAAACAATTGGTGAATATTTGTCGAGGTAAAAGGTGTTGGACTCTTCGATACAGTTTTTGAGTTTTCTAGTGATATTCCAGACTGAAGGGTCTCGAAGAAATTGTGCATGATGATCTGCATGTTTTGTTGGCCACGACTGAGGCGATGTTCTGGTGAGGTTGTTCAGCCCATTTGATTTATACTATAGGAAATCTTTCCCCAGACAATCACAGAGATTCTCAGCACCTTGTACAATGACAGAAAGGTAATAGTATGGACCGCTCTATACATTTTGAGACCAGAGTTGCAAGATACGGTATGGTAATATACTCCGACAGTGTTGTTGGCTTAAAACAGGTAGACTAACCTATCTCCGTATGCGTTTGTCTATCCGGCGAACCATTTTATCCCATATGTATGTACCAAGCCAACTGCTTTGTCTAGCCAGACATCTGCTCCTTGTATGTAATGCCAGAATTGTCGAATTCTTAGTATCCGATCGGAATGCGAAGAGCACTAATATCGACACCAATAAGATTGAGGACATCGTCCTCGCTAATAATGAAAGACCGGTAGATATCAAGTCAACTCTAAATTGGCTAATGATTCCTGGTGATCGTGAAGGCGTTGCTATTCATTCATGAACTGGAGATCAACTAGCCACCCGAGGAAAGTTATTGGAAACGTAATCGGTCTTCGTACATAAAAGGTAGTCATCTATCAAGGTCTTTCGCACCGTGAACATGTTACGAGGCTTGAGATAAAGGGAAAACTTTGATATCTGATGTTGGTACTGTTGAGCTTCTGACACCGGAACTTCCGGAACTATTGAAGGAAGTCGCAGCCGTGGTAACAGACTGTCTCGTCAATAAAGCCCGTACTTTTGGCCATATCATGGGGTCGAGACCGATAACCATGACTGGAATTATCGTACATTTTTGCCCCGAAGAAGAAAAGAGTCGAAAACGATGTGGGTAAGACATACCGTTATTCTTGTTTTGCATATGCCTCTTTCATGATCCGCCCGGATATATTGAGTGTAGCCATAGAAAAGATTTGATACAGCCGTCTAAGAAGTGTTACGGTCCCACCGCTTCATTGTAATCTTTGTTCGAGCAAACAGTGCACGTGATCGGCGTCTGGAGAAGACCACACACACGACCCAGACGGGAGAAGTGAATCTCGGTTTATGCGGAACTTGTATTCTCACCTTCGCCCTCAACTTTGACAGCTCCTCTCCACTATCCTCACTATCGCTCTCCGAGATCTCCATAAGGAAAGAATGAGCTGGGAAACGGCCCACTACTGGCGTATCAACTCACGTGATATAAAGGGATTCAAATCCTCCCAAAGACCGTGGACTTGCATTACATCAATCACCCTAAAACTCATTCCAAATGGTAGTACCATTACTCCGTGCCACTCATAATCTAGCCAGAGACACACTCTCACTCCTGTCGTCTGAACTTGGGAAGTATACTACTTGTACCCTCTGAGTCCGGAAATGCACAATGGCTACCCGCTTTCTCCAAGGCCTCTTCACTTGATTTCGGGGGGGGAAGGGGGGTTTTTTCGCCTTTACGAACAGCCCTAGACTAATTAGTTGCAGTGTACTGTATGTTCAACTTGGTAGATCCTCGATGGTCAAGGGGGATGGTAATTCACGGGAGGTGATGCTGAAGCTGAGCAATAATTTGATGTTTTGGTAGAAAATACCTGTCTAGTAAGTATGTACCTACTTACATAACTCGAGTAGTCAGGTTACAGTACAGCACTAGTTGGCTTCAGCTAGCCACAATCGAACAGGCAATGATTTGGTGGTGAAAATGTATATTTTCTGCCTAGTATCAATTCCGTCCTCATTTCCCTCTTCACCCGGAAAGGCCTCCTTTAGTTGCATTATATTCTTCACCGGTATTCCAAGTATTCAAAATTTGAATTCAAACTTGGAAACTTCACCATGTGCTCGGCACGTGGCATTGGAATTCCACCACCGTGAGATGGTGTATAACTCAGATGTCGTGTCCTCAGAATTTGGGCGGAGGATAGGTAAAATCACCCAGCTGCCAGAGGTAAAATGGGGGATAAGGACCAATGTGAAATCAAAACTCCGGCATTGAGCTGTCATAAATTACTAGTACAGTCTTCCATTCAAACGGAACTCGAATGATCCAAAATAGGTGATAAGGACATTTTCTTCGAATCTATTGATCTAACTGACTGACATGAGTTGGCACTCCGTCCGTCTATTCTATACCGTATTAACTGGTTAGGAAGGTATTATTTATCTATATATATTAGTTGGATGATAGCGTATGGTTCTATGTTACCAAAAAACTTTTTAATCCTTTATAACATATTAATAGTATAATGGTCACGGTATATATTAATAATAAAATGGTCACAGTATAATAGAAATAAATTTGCCTGTCCGGCCGGTATATCTGTACATTCCTTCCCCTTCTTTATTCCATATTCATATCCAATTATCTTTTGAATCCCTAGGTCTTTTTAATTCTTTTAAAAAGTATATGAAATAGTATGAAAAACGATATATGAATCTGAATCGCAATTATATATGTTGAATATATAAAAATGGTAGATAGTTATTGTAGTAAAGGTAGTAGTGTCTTGCCGAGTCCAAAATCAGGGGGGTAAATTTTCAGGTTATTATATTAAATTATCGATTTTGACTCTACTATAGTATCAATGGCTTTCAGAACAATAAATACGAATAGAGGAGATGCTTGAAAATGCTTATACATAGGTTCAGCTGATAAGGATTCATTTTAGAGGTAAAACAACTCTCTGGCCTCAAAATATGACGATATTTTTAGCAACCTGGATTATAAGGTATTAACTCTATGATAACATATGGTTTTTCCTTATGGAAATTCAAACTTTTTCATTATAAGATAATATCTTCCTAACCAGTTAATACGGTATATATAAAACAGATGCAGAAACAAATCAATTAAGTCGTATATCATATGAAATCAGGGAGCAAGATTAACAAACACCACAACAAACGAAGCAACAGTTTCCGGAGCCCTTTATAACTAATAGAAAATCAACAGTTTAACAGATCATCATCGTGGTAGCTGAGCGTACGAGAAATTATCAATGGAGTTTTTGATGGCCATATCTTGCCCTATGAGTCCCAGATGGGACCAAAGGCTGGGATTCCAATGAATTCCAAATCTTGTACGAGCTTTATCGTCAATTTTGCTTTCGAAATCACGATGACAGCTTCCGAATCAGTATCTCGGTACTGCTGGATCACAAGAGGAAGAGTCGCGGGTCGCCCCATAGTCGTCGTATTATGGATGTATGCATTAGACCCCAGTGCTTTGATAATGCCACCGATTTCATCACCATAAGTCGTCAATGGATCTCGAGTTGACCAAAAAAGACTAATACGAGTATTTTGTGCCAGGATGACTGGTAAACAAGGTGCAATTCCTGAGCCGATAGCTACGAGCAGGATACTTCGGAACATGGGGGCGATTCGTAAAACTCCACAGGTGGGCGTACGACGTGCCCAGATCTCCTTTGGCGGTTCGTGTATCAACTTTAGAAAGAAACTTAAATAAAGTATTATTTATAATAATATTATAAATCTTATAATATTTTCTGAAAAGAGTTTATAAAAGAATATTAAAGAATTTATAGATATAAATATCAATATTTTCTCTAAATATTAGAAAGTTTTTATAGATATTATAGCAAATATTGTTCCAATTCTATTATTCAAGATATTAGAATAAAATAAACAAATATAAGGAAAATGCTAGATATTTATATAATAATATTATAATAAGTTTTTAACAAAAATATAAAGATCCTTTATATATAAAAGTTTTTGATTTATTCAAATATTAAAATATAAAATCACTATATAAACTTATAAAAACTTATTAAATAAAGAAATAATAGGATTTTCTTATATAGTATTAGAATTAAAGATGTCGATATATTATATATATATTATATATATTACTTAAACGATATATATAATAGGCCTATAATATGTAGATATTAATCTCAGAAGAAAGCTTTTTCTCTTCTATATATAATAATCATTCTAATATTAGAGTATTTATATTATTATCATCTTGGCCGGCCTTATAGAGATACTACTTGTAAATACTATCACTCCCTTGTGAATCTATTGCGAGGGATCACAAGCAGGGAATAGGCCGGATAGTATCAGTACTACAGTTAGGGTATAGTTTGTACAGAACTGAACTCATACCACTGCCATGGTGGTATGAGGGTAGTTCTTTATAGATTTCAGTACGAACTAACTAATAAAGAACAAAGGATATGAAAGGATACGGAGTATCCTTTCATATCCACGCTTTTCCGGCTAGTCCCCGGAAGGGGATTAGTCTCTACGCGGTGACATCTGTATACTCCAGAGGCCTATCAACAAAAGATTATATTAGAAATATAAAAAAATTGATTATCTCAAGATATTAAATATAGATTTCTATATTTATATAATTGTTATCTTATTTTAGCTCATCTCTAGTACTCTTTGGGAGATTGTAAGTAGACTCCGCCTACTCTCTAGATGTTAATTTATTTAATAAATAAATAAGTCACGATGCTATTATATTAAGCTATAGTAGAGCTACTTACGATTATCTTTATATAACTCTAAAGATTTTTTCGACTTTAGATATACTCTATCTTTATTACCCCACATCGCTTATATAATCACAAAAATATGGTTTCAAACCTCTCCAAACACTAAAATCAAGAGTAGAATGCTCATCTAACTAAGTCTAATAAAAAAATTCAGAAAAACTCTAGATAAAATGAAAGAAATTCCAAAAATGTAAATCGTGGACTAGCGGCGAATCGAACGCCGGACCTCTCCTATGCTAAAGGAACATTATACCACTAAACCACAAGCCCTTGTAAGTGTTATGTTGAGGATATTTTTGTTTTGCAATATAATCTATGATTTCTTGGAATACAATAAAGAGCCTTGATAAAACCTACCGGTACATTGTACTTGGAATGCAAAAGTCAATGTTTAAAATACTTTTTACGTATATTTGTATTAGACTATCGCTATGATCGGTTATTCCAGAGTCAACCTACATCACAAGATCAAGACAACTACTACTCCAGGACACTCGAACAACCTTGCGAATTTGAGATTTATTGTAAGTACCATCCCTAATCTCTATCTTCGAGTATTCCTCAACCGTTTCAACGTTCCATTGCTTTTGTTTCATATTACGTCGACGCAGACAATGTGATACCTGCGATTTGTACGAACAAGGAGTCCATCTTCGCAAGTGTTTGAAGGGTATGTGAATCCCCAGCTCTACATTTATGCTAACGCCCACAACCTCTACGAATGACTAGCACTGACCATCTTGTTAGTCGCATTCAAAATGTTGTGGCTGGGATAATCTCATTATTAAAGCTGAAAAGGTACTTGAAAAGTTCACAAGGAGGAACCTGAATTATTGGAGCTGTCAAGAAGTGTACTACCAGCTATATCATAGCCAGCGAATGAATAGTCCATTACTCAAGCGCCAACGGTCAGTATTATTTGATGACGGGCAATGATTCGGACGGTATCAGTGAGACACTCACAAGCACTGGGCATGCTTTAGTCTAGCAGATTTCCTTCAAGAAAACTTAGCAACGCATTGCTCATTGCTTTTTGAGAAGCCAAAAATTGTCATGCTTTGTGCAGTGGTTACGCCTTGCAGAGCCTCCCCATTGACAAGTTCTATAAAGTGGATATGTGTTTGAGAGCGCTTGAAATGTTCTGAAGAGGTCAAATATATTGAAACCACCTTATGGGGTATATGTCTTTCGAAGACTAGCCTTCGTTCTTGATAAACAAGCTATGCAAAACCTATCGAGCGATATTTGGCCAAAGTTCACGGGCATTTGAATTGGTCAACGAAGTAGATGTGATTCGTTACACAAACTGCAAGATAAGCTGCGAGAAATTGGTAGAGCGGAATGTACGTGTTGATGATTCCCGCATCGCCACCTTCGATTAAATATCTATAACCTTGATAATGCAGTCTGATGTTGACATGTTGTCAAGTATGGTGCGAATCACACCTGAGTGGGGCAAATTAAGAAAAATAGTTCAAGGAGCTAGTGATAGTTGGTCGGGGTTATCTGGTCTCGTCAGAACAACTCGACCAGAGAGAGCATCATCAATGTCTGCCATTTGAAATTAACTCAGGAGAGCTACATCTTTGTGCATGTTAGGTCGAGAACTGACTCGCCTGAAGACCTAGCGGTATGCGTTCTGTATAGGGGGTAAAAAGATCATGTAACTTCGTGATCACTAAGCATTACTCTGGCTTCATTGGCTCGTACCAACCTAGTGATGCAATTCATTATTTGTATTCGTGATTCTCAGCTTACCTTCCAGTCTAAAACATCACGAATTCTCGAGGTGGCAGTCGGGAGCGGAAATTCTTTGTTCACTTAGGTGACTCGAAACAATCTGATATGAACCTATTAAAGTGGCACCATACCAGTTTATGCCCGAAACGAACCTTGCACCAACCATACTACCAATCACTACCGAAAAGGGGTCAAAGAAATCCCGTAATCATATCTAAACAAATGTGGCACATCTACCTAGTCCATCTATATTAAGCTCTTGAGCAGATAGATAAATAGAAAGCAGACACGAATCTCCACACCTGGCCCCCGGTCTCTCATAAGGCCCGTTAACCTGCTCCTGCCGCATTCCAGTCCGCTATACCCTTTGAGTACTCCCAAGTTGTACATCCATACATAATCTCAAGTCACACTCAAACACACCGACGAATACATGCATAATCTCTGCTTTTTACGTTGCTCGACATAGATAAATGTACATACGTGCATGTACCAGAACTGACTGGGCTTTTTATTCCTCTTATCGGTGCATATTCGCCTTGCGAGTTTATGGTCTTGGCCTATGGATGCGGTTATGCACGTGTTCTATTTCCTATTTTCCTATCTTCCTTGTGTCCACAAGGTAGTGGCTTGAGTACGTAGTACAATTTGGCCAGAACTCTTGGCGAAAAGTTTTGTACAACTTTTGGTTATCTTTGGATAATATGAAGTACTTGATGTGGTGATTTAGGCGTGATGTATAATAGATGGAAGGAAAGGGCAGGCTGGAGTTGACTAGACTTGTCCAGAGCATCATACTTGAGGTTAAACAACAACTTGCAAATGAAACTCCTCTCAACCTAGTTTAAGAATATTTATGTGTTCAAGGAATCAGTTATCAAATACTCGCTACGAAGTCAGTAAATCTAATTTGGACACAAAATTTGATTGGTTAGACATTCTTTTTGAGTCAAATGGAATCATAAAATTGGACTCGATCAGATTGTATGAATTATGACGAGAAACTGTGAAGATTGACTCGGGAGCTGATATCCAGTGCACTCGACACATGAAGGGTAAAGACTTTGATCGACTCGACTGTCTCCGCGATGACATCCAATCTTCTCATGTGGTCATCTCCAATTCTCGAGTGCCCTCAGCAGACAATTCGCCAAGCTTTGCCTTCCAAGAGACATCCATTGCTTCCTCAAACGCCATCACAAATTTCCATACATCCTCGAAGTTGTTGTAAAGAGGAGCTGGCGCCACCCTTATCACATTTGGTCGTCTCTCATCCACGACCACTCCCCTCAACTCCAGCTCTTTCATAACTACATCCAATAACCCATCAGCCAACTGGAGACTCAGCTGAGCACCTCTCTGCTCTCTATCCCGAGGTGTGATGATCGAGAATCTTTCTTTTTCATAAGTTGCTGTACCTAGGAGCAAGTCCTCCAAATAAGCAGTAATCTTCACGGATTTAGCCCTTAAGACTTCCATTCCTCCGGCAAGTTTGAATATCTCTAGTGATGCATTCAAACTTGTGATGTCCAGCACACTTGGATTACTCAATTGGAACCCCGCAGCGCCCGCTATCGGCATGAAGTCATTTCCCATCGCAAATCTCGTATTTTTGTCATTACCCCACCAGCCACTTAATCTATTCACAAACCCTGTCCCCGCATCAGTGTCCTGCGCTGAATCAGGTACTCGAGTGTTCCTGTCATTAATAAACATTCCACCGATGCAACCCGGCCCCGAATTTAAATATTTGTAAGTGCACCAAGCCGCTGCATCGACGTCCCAATCATGAAGGTAAAGCGGAACATTTCCAACTGCGTGAGCAAGATCCCAAATGACGAATATGCCGTGATCTCGAGCCCTGCGTGTGATGAGGGGTATGTCGAACAATTGACCCGTGTAAAATTGAATCCCTGGGAGTATCAGAAGAGCTGTATCTTTAGCATGGATATCAATGGCTTTGAGTATGCAATCTGTTGAAAGTGTTGGTTCGGCAATCGAATGTGACTCTAGGGTAATCATCGATGCAGCAGGTGAGAGGTTATGGTGTCGGATCTGTGACTCTACGGCGTACTATATATTGTTTAGCCGGCATAATCGATTGGTGATGAGTGTGGATAGGGGTTACCCACGTGATCTGATGGAAATGCCTTACTTTCCAATATGATTTTATGCCTGCCATTGATATCAGGTTTGTAAAAGGCGGACATGAGGAGATGCAAATTGGCAGTCAGGGTCTGCATGACATTAACCTCTGAAGGATGCGCTCCAACAATAGGGGCAATGTTCTCTGAAGCACTTGAATCTACGTGCAGCCATGTTGGTAATGGCGAATCAGAAAGTGGTTTGAAATGACCAAATACACCTTGAGTTGCCCAAGTCTTGAGATATTGCTCTATACGAGTAGAGGTGATACGCGGCTGTATGCCAAGTGAATTACCACAGAGGTAGACACAGGGATCTCCAGGAGAGGAAATTCGAGACTCTAAGGTGTCATTTAGCTATCAGATTCAACTACCTAGAGTAGAATCTCGTACCTAAACTTGACAAAGTCCTGGCTTGCAGATCGGCCCTGGAAGGAATAAGGAATTCATTTCTGATCTGACGAAGAGGATCCTGAACATCTTGGGACACAGCATATTCTCTGCTGTTCATGTGCGGGCGTCGTTGTTGTTCGTGCTGATCTTGTTGTTCATGACCAACATGATTCTCCGGGGAAGCCATGAGACAGAGAAACGTAATGTAATTTGAATACTAGCGGTGTAGCAGACTAGCAGTGGAGTGCTCTATGTATGAAGAGAGTCCCGATTCAAATTGCGTGCCGTGGAGAGCTTAGCTTAGGGTCAATATCAAACGCAATGAATCGGCGCTTATTGAATCAAGACTCTCTTGCCTTTCTTTAGCGGCAGGTGACGCAACCTGGGGTAAGAGAAACTAACACGGTCCTCAAAAAGTTGGGACTCCCGCTCGCTGGGGGAATTATGAGACTCAAATTTTCCAATGGTGGGATATTTGTGTATGTTATTGACCTTGCTCGACCCCTTTGAGTGACTTTGACCTTTGACCCAAGTAAACTGGTATGAACCGATTTGTAATGAAAATTGCAAGCTCCTAGTCATGAGATTCTATTGAATTCTCATTATACAATCCAGACTCCGAATGACGACAGGTAATAGACAATTGAGGAAATCGGTTTGTCAAAGTCAAGAGACGGCAGGACGTAAAATGAAGATCTATTGGGTGAAAAGGCATGAAAGGGATGAATGTTGGCATTTGTTAGGGTAAGGTTGACATTGGAGAAGCTTGGAGTTAGGGATTAGTAAATGGCGGGGTTGAAAAAAAAAAAGGACAAATTAATTGGATTAAATGGGGAAAACGTGCTTATCCATCCGTGTATCACCATCATTCATAGAAAAGGAAAAATAATTATTAGTATTGGAAAGGTCATAAGAACGAATATCACGGGATCCATCGATGAGGGAATTTCAATGGAATTTCAATGGGTCTCACTGGCAATGGAGTCTGAAATCCCCTCTCGAGTTCCTCGAGATCTTCTTCTTCTCAGAGGGGCAGTCCTAGGGATGCAACTTATATGAAACTTATTATTCATGCTCATATTCCAGAAAGCATGAGTGGCTGGCGAGCTGGGGCTTACCTAGGTTACTTGCACGGATCGATGTAAGATCTTAATATGCCTTGAGTAACCGCTTACCGACCAGCAATAAATGTTACTTGTAATATGGATGCCCGCTTATCACTAATTAAAGAGTAGATGCTAAAAGGGCGGTAAATAAAAATTGATCGATCGATTCATCCATTCTCCAATCAATCATCCATCCATCTATCTATCCAATCATCCATCCATCCATCTATCCAATCATTCATCCATCCATCCATCCATCCATCCATCCATCCCATCCCATCCCCATCCATAATAATTTATCCTGCACTGTGCCCTACCGTACCCTACCGTACCGTACCGTACCTTACCGTACCTTAACATTTTAACTAGATCGTCAGGTACCACCAAAACACCCATTCCGAACGACACGAGCTTCATATCGCATCAGAACCTGACCTGCCCCTGCCAAACCATATATCACTGCATGAGGTATGAGGGAATTGTATCTATATTACTCAATTGAGGCTTTTGGTTTTGGTTTTGATTTTGTTTGAAGTTTGATTTATTATAAATTGATTCCGGCTGCTGCTGCCATCTGTGAAAGAAGTGAAATAACAAGACCCTTTTCCCACTTCTTTCACATCTTATCATGTTCTGACTCGGATTGACCTTTATTTTCTCCTTTGCCTCTCTCTCTTCTTATCTTTATATTATTCACATACTTTACTCAACTACCACCACTTCTCCCAGAAAAAAAGTCCAATAAGACTCAGCAGCCAATCTGTCGAATTGACCTTGATTCCTGAAAGATAAGACTATATTCACCCCCTCGGGATATATTCATTCATCATCATCATCATCAACCCCTGCTTAGTATGTATCATCCTTATCCCACAGAATTTAAAGTTCCGCTGCGGTACTCAAGATCTCATCTGATTTGATCGAATAAGTAGGTCTTTATTCACTACACGCAATTCGCCATACGGCTTCAAGTTATTCCAGTTTCTAGATCACCCAATTATATTTTGTATCCACCTCTTGAGTCTTGAGCCGCCTTCAAATCTTCAAATTCACTCAAATTCTTGAATTCAAACCGTTCCTAGCCGTACAATTGACTAGCTAGAGGCTTCTTTTACTTCTTAAATCGAACACAATACACACATCTTTTGAATTACCAACCTCAATACCTACCTCTTACAAGACTTTTCCCCTACACATAATTGGTGCTGGCGCATGTTATACAAAGTAATAAAGCTTTATCTTTCAGGTACGTTTATCCATGGGCGTTGCTGATCTTCCATCCCTTATTCTCAAACCCACATAATTTTCCTTATCGCTTCCTATCAAAAATAAACGCCTCCATTTCCCCTGGGGCATGGGTCTTGGCACACTTTCTGCTTTCCTACCAACTTCAAGATCTAAAAAGTCCAAAACTCTGTCTCAAACAACCGCCCTCGGACTATTCTGAGATCAAGGTTGCGGAGTGGAATTGACTGATAAGCATCCTTCCTTGACAATGCAGGCAATGCAAGTAATACTAAGAATTGAGGCGGTCAAGGAATCCAGGAGTTGTTGGACTGTCACTCCATTGACCTTGCCATACCGGCTTGCCGATATAGATAGGCGTTGCTTACCCTCCTTTTCCCTTTTCTAATTCCTAGTTACTTCCTTTTCCTTCCTTATCTTGTCCCAACAGTTCGCCGTGAGAAGTCATTCTCTACATTACAGCCACGAGTCACGATGGCTACGGTTCTTTCCCCAATCAATACTGACCCAATGGTTACTTCTCAGCAGTTTCCCGTATACGACGAACAATCTTTTCTTCCTACTGAAGGAAATATGGCTACCATCAGTAGTTCAACGTCCCGTTCTCCCCATAAGTTGGTGGAGCAAGTTATCAGAACTCCTGGTCGACAACCTTCACCACAACCAACACATTTCAACGTCCCCCATAGAAATGGCAACGGAAATGGACACCGCGTCTTACGTTCCGCAACTGTTGGATATGTTGCTCCAGAATTCAAAGGCAGGACAGAACAAATGATTAAAGGTGAGTTGCCTAAGGTCCTGAAGACCATGCAAATCTAACTCTATGAAGTGAGAGAACAGATCAAGGCAATGAAATGGATACCAAGGGAACTCATTGATGAACAATTGGAGTGGTTCTACAATGAGCTTGGAATCGATGACGTCTACTTCCAGACCGAGAGCGCCGAAGCCGTTGTCAGCAATATCACATCGCTTTATGCTGCAAAGGTCGCTGCATTTGCTCGGGAGGACAAACGTCAAGAGATCCGATTGGATATGGAGTCTTCCGATCACGCCATATACATTGACACCAGCGAACCCGGCATCAGTGCAGTTGGTGGCCCGAGATATGAGCACAGACTAGAGGTCAAGTACTTGGATACATCCTCCAATCACACCTTTCGCGTCGAAAGTTTCCGCTCCACTAGTAACTTGTATAACGGTTCTACCCCAACAAAGTCCTCGATACGCTGTTACTTCGTTTACCAGTGCCAATTCGTCGACCCCAACCCATCACCCAGCGAAACTCGCCTAGAAGTCATCAGTGACCGAATGTTCCTTGCGAAATCCACCAACAACACAAAGCAAATCTACCAAGAGATCATTGAGCTTGCTGTTTCTCGTACTGGACCAGTTATTGAGGTCTTTGATATTGAAGATTCAATCGAGAAGAGACTGGTTGTGGCTTTCAGACGCAGAACAGCCTTAGGATTGTTCAGTGCTCTGAGTGATCTTTATCATTCATATGGTGTGACAAGCTCGAGAAAATATGTTGAACAATTCAGCAATGGTATCACTGTGATGAGTCTGTACCTTAAGCCTGCAAACAACTTGTCACAGGAGTTCCCTACACTTGAACAGTCTATCCACCAAATCACCAAGGAGATTTCTCTGCTTTATTGCATACCACAGAACAAATTTCAGGTATTGTTCACGAGTGGACGTCTAAGCCTCCAGGAGACAATCTATGGTCATTGTGTTTGGGTTTTTGTTCAGCACTTCCTCAACCGTTTGGGCTCTGAATACTCCTCATTGGTGTCTGCGTTAAATCCGAACAATAGTTCTCATGCGGAAATTTTATCTACCATCAAACGCAGGCTTCGTACCGAGACTTTTACTTCTGACTATATTCTCGAGATCATTAGCAATCATCCAGGACTTGTCCGCTCGTTATACTCTTCGTTTGCAAAGACACATCTTAGCCTTGCCCCTGGATTCAGTGAGGATTCGATTCCACCTTCACCATCTGGAGAAGTCCTCAATGATAAAGAACTTAAAGAGTTAATCTCAAAGACTGTTAGCAATGAGCATGAAGATATGGTCATGACTGCGTTCCGTATCTTCAACAACTCTCTCTTGAAGACCAACTTTTATACACCTACCAAAGTTGCTTTGAGTTTTCGTCTCGATCCTTCATTTCTTCCTGAAATCGAGTATCCTCAGCCACTGTATGGCATGTTCTTGGTCATTACCTCCGAGTCACGTGGATTCCACCTTCGATTCAGAGACATCGCTAGAGGAGGCATCCGCATTGTCAAATCTCGAAACCGTGAAGCATACTCCATCAATGCCCGATCAATGTTCGACGAGAACTACGGTCTCGCCAACACTCAACAACGCAAAAATAAGGATATTCCCGAAGGTGGTTCCAAGGGTGTTATTCTTCTAGATTCCAATCAGCAAGACAAGGCCAGCGTAGCTTTCGAGAAATACATCGATAGTATCATGGATCTTCTCCTGCCACCTTCGTCTCCGGGCATCAAGAATCCTATCGTTGATCTTTATGGCAAGGAAGAAATTCTCTTCATGGGTCCTGATGAGAACACTGCTGATCTTGTTGACTGGGCTACTGAGCATGCTCGCAAGCGAAATGCTCCTTGGTGGAAATCATTTTTCACTGGCAAGTCTCCCAAATTAGGCGGCATACCCCATGATAGTTACGGTATGACTTCTTTGTCGGTCCGAGAATACGTCAAAGGCATCTATCGAAAGTTAGAGCTTGATCCTATCAAAGTTCGAAAGATGCAAACTGGTGGGCCTGACGGTGATCTAGGAAGTAACGAGATATTGCTGAGCAATGAAACTTATACTTCAATTGTCGATGGCAGCGGCGTCTTGGTTGACCCACAAGGCCTCAACATTGATGAGCTCAGGCGCTTGGCCACGAAGCGTGCCATGATCTCCGAGTTTGATCTCACCAAGCTATCAAATGAAGGTTATCGTGTTCTTGTCGACGAAACAAATGTAACCCTACCCAATGGAGACGTCATCAGCAATGGTACAACATTTCGTAACACTTTTCATCTTCGAGATACTGGTCTTACCGATGCTTTTATTCCTTGCGGTGGCCGTCCAGCAGCTATCGATCTTTCCAGTGTCAACAAGCTTATCAAAGATGGAAAGTCGACCATTCCATACATCGTTGAAGGTGCCAACCTATTCATCACCCAAGATGCCAAGCTGCGATTGGAAGAAGCAGGATGTATTCTTTTCAAGGATGCTTCTGCCAACAAGGGTGGTGTAACATCTTCATCTCTAGAAGTTCTTGCATCTTTGAGTTTCGATGATGAGAGTTTCGTGGAGAATATGTGTGTAGGAAGCAATGATCAAGCTCCGGAATTCTACAAAGAATATGTCAAGGAAGTTCAAGAGACTATCAAGATGAATGCCGAGCTTGAATTCGAGGCTATCTGGCGAGAACATGAACAGACAGGAATTCCACGGAGCACGTTGAGTGACACAATTAGTGTGGCAATCACCAAGCTTGATGAGGAACTTCAAACGTCTGATCTATGGAGAGATGCGAAGTTAAGAAAATCGGTATTGCTTGATGCTTTGCCACAGCTGTTGTTGTCCAAGATTGGACTTGACACAATCATGCAAAGAGTAAGTTCATCAGCCCATGTTAATACAATCCCCCAGCTAATATCGATAGGTGCCTGAAAACTACCTCCGTGCCATCTTCGGCAGTTATCTTGCAAGTCGATTCGTTTATGAAGTCGGCAGCTCGCCAGGTCAGTTCGCCTTCTTCGACTTCATGTCGAAGAGATTGGCCAATGTTCGACCTAGGTCTCCCTCTTTATAAGGGAAGGGCGATAAAATTTGGGTGGCTACGGGGAATTTCATTGCATGGAAAGGAGTTATCAATGGGTGGGTGTGGAAACTTTAGTTGATGCACCGAGATGATCTGAAAATGAAAAGACTGATAAGATGCATTAATCAGCATCGCACTATCTCGTTTAATCTTCTTTGGTTCAATAGGGGTTTAATTGGTGATAAGTGGATTCTTTGATAGAGGGGCGGGACTCAGATGTGGCTTTGTTTTACGGGTTCTTAATGGCTGCAATTTCCACAGTCGTGCCTCTCAATAGGTAAACAGCAGTACAGCATCATGAAGGAAAAGCGCTATTCATGTCTTTCTGTTTTTGATGTGACCGATCATTGGTGCATGGCGGTCCTCGAGTCTCTTATTTTCATCGCGTGACGATAGAATAGACTGGACTAGAATAGACGTATGACATTGGATAGAATTAGATATAGAAATGGGCCACTCTTTGATTACAAAACAAAGGTGCGTCTTAATAGATGATATTAACAGACAGGCTCGAGTGACCAACCGGGCTTTCAATGGGTGAAACATCAGATCTTATAAGTATATATTTTATAATATATTTCTAGTTGTGTTCCGGCATTTTGTCTAAAGGCTATGGAGTGTTTGCTCACATGTCTCTTCGATTCGTGTAAAGGTGATTTCGATAGACAATAGTACTACTATATAATAAAAGACTCTACTTATTCTATAATCTTTATATACTTATTCTATAATATTAGAGTTTTATATTTAGTTTAATTACTTTTATTTAATATCTATCTCTAGATAGTAAAAGATTCTCTCAAAATAAGAATCTTATAATAAAATAATAAATATATATTATTATAGATATTTTCGAAAATAGATATTATTTATATAAGTATATTTATTATTATAGTTTATTATTTCTAATATATTAAATATAATATTAGCTTTCAAACTATCTATTAGAGATTTTATATCTTTTAATATATTATTATTTTATATTCTTTTATTA